TGCTGAAATATTCGTTTCCGTTCTCTAACTTTAGTTTGCCTCAACTAAATGTTATGAAACTTATAAACAATGCTTATTACCACAAAACTCAGATCAATTACAAATTTGGGTAGCGTCACTTTTACAGTTCTTGAGTTATGTCCCTTTATAATGTTATATGCAAGCGGAGGCATCATCTGTGTCCCATGGACACAATCTCCATTTATTTATTCCTATGGTACTCTTTAAATTTTCCCTTAAATGATCTACTGTTACAGCATTTTCCAGCTATATTACAGAGACTACCTATACTGTTGTAGTAAATAATATTTCTTTAAATTGGACTATCTACATTATTTTCAGGTATAGTTATTTGTCAAATTCTTGAAAATGCCACTTGTTTAAGGCAAGCCATTGATCAGATACGTATTGACTGGTCCTCCATTTGCAGAAAATCTGCCATAGATTTGAAAACTAAAAATTCCTCCATAGATTAGGAAACTAGAAAACTTGCCATAGATTTGGATTTAAAAAAATCTGCCACAGATTTGGGAGGGCATGACATTATGTTTACCATAGATTTGAAATATGCCATAGATCTTGAACCCGCCATGGATCTGAGTCCTACAAATATATAGATGGAAGAATAATTTAAAATAAAAAAAACTTCAAAAAGTTTTAATTTTGTGGGAAAAAATACATGTTTATATAAGCCCCCAGCCTTCCACTTTCATTTCGAAAATATCTATTTTCAGGCACAGGCTTATATAAATTTGACTTTTGAATCATTGTAATAAATCTGATACATCAAATGAGTGTTTAGTTACTTCAATACACAATATATCATATATATATACATCATATATGAGAGCATTTAAAAGACAAATTTTTGCAATATTTAAATTTTTTAGGCCCAAATCTTGATAGTTGAAATTGTTCTTTTTAAACATAAAAAATAAACATCCAACAAATGGTCAAGTCTTTCTATCCTAATAGGTCTGAGGATACAGTTATCGGCCTATGACTTTCGTTGTCTACAAATATAGTCCCTAGTGTGGACAGTGTATAACTATAATTTTTTTCATACACTTTCCAAATTTGTTCCTTTGTATTTTATGTATGAAATATTAAGTAGGGGATGAAAATTCATGTCAAAATAATTTGGGTGATGAGTTTTAAGGTAAAGTAGTGATTTGGTCCAGTTGAAATAGGTCAAAAATTAGTATGTCTGAAGCTGTCAAACTGAATTATAGACCCCCTTAACATAGAATTGTCCATATTTTGAGTTAGAGCTGAAAGACTTTTCTTTAACTTTGATATAATTTGTACACTACACTGTAAGAATCTTTTTGAGATAGAGCAATTTTTTTAATTTGAATTTATTATCTAAATTCACTACGAAATAACTGTGTTCTCGGGCCAGAAGTCAAATTTTGCAAATATGTTTTTTCATTTCAGTATTTTTTTGATAGATGGACTAATTTCTTTGCAGTTAACATTTACATAAAGTCCAAGATTAAGTTCTTGAGACATTTTAAAACCACTTTGTTAAACCTTCATGGAATGCTATAAAACTTGAACAGAAACTTCTTCAAGATCAAGAAATAGCATCTGAAGCAAAAGCAGATTTTCAAAAAAAAAACAATTCTCTATTTTATTGATAAATGGACTTAGTTTTGGCAGTCAAACATTCACTTTTACACTGACAGCAGCAATTGTTGGCAAGATGCAGATTCTGTGAAACCCTTTAACAATTTTTATTTGTTGAGAGTCATTTTTTCGATAAATACTTATTGTTTCTGTTAAGTATGTTCACAATTTTTACAAATTGACATTTTGTATAGACACGTCACCTCCTTTTATTCATCAAAATGGAAGGATATTGTTTACATTAAGTTGAAAGATATTCAGCACAAGCCTTCTTTTATTCCTTCTAGATATCTTATAATTCACTGTGCACAAGTTTCTGTGTGGTAGAGAAACAAGTTCCTGGTGTTGCACAAGATATATGTTAGATAACTGAGAACTGCATACCATTGGATTAAACCTCTCATGTCTGACAGAACACAATTTTATTGTCCAAATAATATGATGTTTTTATCAGTGCAAAAAAATTATAGGATGGATATCATAATTAGCATATTGAAATGTAATATTATCCTGCAATATATACAGGAATCACATTTCTGAATAATTAGTAATGTATTGTTGTCTGGTGTTGTAGACTAACAAATATGCAATTGATAGTAACATTTATGGTAGTGTCTGCAACAAAGTACTTTTTATACGACCGCAAAAAAATTTTTGTGGTCGTATATTGGTATGACGTTGGCGTCGTCGTCGTCCGGCGTCGTCGTCGTCGTCATCGTCGTCCAGCGTCGTCCGGCGTCGTCCGAAGACACATTGGTTTTCGCACTCTAACTTTAGTTTAAGTGAATGGATCTTTATGAAATTTTACCACAAGGTTCAATACCACAAAAGGAAGGTTGGGATTGATTTTGGGGGTTATGGTAATAACAGTAAAGGAATTAGGGGCCAAAAAGGGGCCAAAAATAAGCATTTTTGTAACTTCCAGACATAACTTGTGTGTTAGTGTATGGATCTCTCTGACATTGTACCACAAGGTTCCATATCACTAAAGGAATGCTGGGATTGATTTTGGGGGTAATTGCCTCCAAATTTTAGGAATTAGGGGCCAAAAAAGGGGCAAAAAACAAGCATTTTTCTAGTTTCATGACAATAACTTGTGTGTAAGTGTATGGATCTTTCTGAAATTGAACTACAAGGTTCCATATCACAAAGGGAAAGCTGGGTTTGAGTTTGGGGGTAATTGCCCTAAACGTTTAGGAATTTGGGGCCAAAAAGGGGCCAAAAAACACATTTTTTTCTAGTTTCCAGACAATAACTTGTGTTCAAGTGTATGGATCTCTCTGAAATTGTACTGCAAGGTACCATACCACAAAGGGAAGGCTGGGATTGAGTTTGGGGGTGATGAATCATAATGGGGGTTCATAAAATTTTGGGGGGGGATTTATTTTTTTTTCCTTTTTTTTCTTTTTTTCCTTTTTTGTTTCTGTTAAAATTTTCCATTTTAAGTTGGTAATTTCTGATTTATATTTAAAATCAAATAATAATGATATGGTAGGAGATACACACCAAACAGGATGTGTAAATTATTATATAATAAGTATTGTGCAATAGCAAGAAATTTTCAATTGCACAGTATTGCACAATAGCAAGAAATCTTCAATTGCTCAGTATTGCGCAATAGCAAGAAATCTTCAATTGCACAGTATTGCGCAATAGCAAGAAATATCCAATAGCACAATATTGCGCAATAGCAAGAAATTGTCAATTGTACAGTATTGCGCAATAGCAAGAAATATTTAATAGCACAGGATTGTGCAAAAGAAGATACTTCCTATAAATTGCTTATTTCTTGACCAATTTCAATGGGGTTTTATTCTTGATTTCATGGGGTTCTTTAATATGCTGAATCTAACCGTGTATTTAGTTTTTGGATTTTGGGCCCCGTTTTTAAATTGGTCCACATTGAGGTCCAAAGGGTCCAAAATTAAACTTTGTTTGATTTCATCAAAAATTGAATTATTGGGGTTCTTTGATATGCCGAATCTAACTGTGTATTTAGATTCTTAAATTTTGGTTCCGTTTTCAAATTGGTCTACATTAAGGTCCAAAGGGTCCAAAATTAAACTTAGTTTGATTTTAACAAAAATTGAATTCTTAGGGTTCTTTGATATGCTGAATCTAAACATGTATTTAGATTTTTGATTATGGGCCCAGTTTTCAAGTTGGTCCAAATCGGGGTCCAAAATTAAACTTTGTTTGATTTCAACAAAAATTGAATATATGGGGTTCTTTGATATGCTGAATCTAACCATGTATTTAGATTTTTGATTTTTGGGCCCCGTTATCAACTTTGTCCACATTGAGGTCAAAAGGGTCCAAAATTAAACTTTGTTTGATTTCATCAAAAATTGAATTATTGGGGTTCTTTGATATGCCGAATCTAACCGTGTATTTAGATTCTTAATTTTTGGTTCCGTTTTCAAATTGGTCTACATTAAGGTCCAAAGGGTCCAAAATTAAACTTAGTTTGATTTTAACAAAAATTGAATTCTTAGGGTTCTTTGATATGCTGAATCTAAACATGTATTTAGATTTTTGATTATGGGCCCAGTTTTCAAGTTGGTCCAAATCGGGGTCCAAAATTAAACTTTGTTTGATTTCAACAAAAATTGAATATATGGGGTTCTTTGATATGCTGAATCTAACCATGTATTTTGATTTTTGATTTTTGGGCCCCGTTATCAACTTTGTCCACATTGAGGTCAAAAGGGTCCAAAATTAAACTTTGTTTGATTTCATCAAAAATTGAATTCTTGGGGTTCTTTGATATGCTGAATCTAACCATGTATTTAGATTTTGGATATTGGACCATAAAAGGTGAATGTCCAATTTAAAATTTTTAAGTTCTTAGACCACATTCAATCTGTGTTAGAAACCTATGCTGTGTCAAATATTTAATCACAATCCAAATCCAAAGCTGTATCAAGCTTGAATGTTGTGTCCATACTTCCCCCAACTGTTCAGGGTTCGACCTCTGCGGTCGTATCAAGCTGCGCCCTGCGGAGCATTTTATTAAAAGATAAAAAAAAAGAGATCGCATTACAAATAAAAAAAACCAAAATACCCTCCCCTTTACACATAGACACAAATGAATGCTTTATTTTGTTGATGAAAGTCTGAGATAAGGATATTGCATTCCTTACATTTTGTGAAAAATTGAAAAAAAGGTAACTTTTAATAATATATGGCAAACCCATGCTTCACAGTGGCATATGTCTTAATTTTTGTCTTTCTTTTCTTTCTCAAAAGGAAAATGCTGTTGTGAAGTAATGACTCATTTACCACCTAATCATACAAATCTACATAGACATAGCTAAATGTTAGGTTGAAAAATATTTTTTCTTAATATTTTTCTTTTATTATTCTTTCAGACAAATTGTGGAGAAATATTGATAGCAGTCAATCCATACAAGAAATTAGGAATATTTGATTTTAATGTAAGTATTTCTATTAATAGTAAGTTTGTTTGATGATACTTTGCATTATACTTTCTTAAATAAATTATAATATAATCAATGACTTCTGTTTATTCAGAAGTGTACTGGCTAGAACTTGTAAACTATTCAGAAGGTCTTATGAGATTTTTCATGGACGTGTTTTGTCATAGGAAGATATGTTGTGTTCCATCATGAACAACTTATAATTTAGGTATTTTTTCCAAAAGAGTCAAATTATTGGCAAGTCTGCCTCATGGTTAGAACAGTCTTATGAGGGGGTACAAAAAAGTAAAACAACAAAAATACCGAACTCCGAGGAAAATTCAAAACAGAAAGTCCCTCAACAATTGGCAAAATCAAAAGCTCAACCACATCCAAAGAATGGAAAACAACTGTCATATTCCTGACTTGGTACAGACATTTTCTTATGTAGAAAATGGTCGATTAAACCTGATAAACAAAAGAAGAATAAATGAATATTGATCATCAGTGGAGATAAAATGCTCACTCTTTAATTTAAAATTATCATATTGATAATAAGTGGACTGTACAACAGATACTACAGAAAAAAATAAACATTTTAAGGTTCATCCTGACACCTGGGACAAGTGAATGAAAAAAAAACAAAACACTTAGAAATGTTCATTTATCAAGAAAAACAATTAGAAGGCAGCTTACCAAACAAATTAAAGGCGAGAGTTGCTGAATTTAATCTTGTGTTTATAGTGATTTAAGTTTCATTTCCCTTGAATAACTAACTTTAGGATTCTGCCCCTTAGTCAAGGTAGTGATGTGAGTTGCCAGAGAGGATATACAAATCAAATGGGAAAAATAGAATTGTTAAGCTAATTCATTGTGTTTTAATTTTAAAATGTGTATTAACTATTATGCTAATAGTTAAATAATTCATGTCCAAGGGATTTTTTTTTTCATGAATTAAAGTACAAAATGTATGTTCTAGTAAGCATGACCTGGTTGCATACCATTTCAGAAAATGATAACTAATGAAGTAGATAACATCTACTAATCTCAAATTTCTACAACAATGGGAATTTGATATGTTTGTTTTTTAAAATATGGGTTGTTTATTCTGGTTTCATATTAGATTAGGGCATCAGTTAAGAAGAATGAATAACATTAGTTAGTAGTCAGTACTTGCCTCCTTTAAAGTATCATCAGTAATCAATGTAGAAAGATAATTGTTAAGTGTGTAATCCTATAAGGATCTACCCTCCAAATGAGTGGGGTTCTTGCTTTACCTCTGTCTGTCTTCCCATAACACATTTCTGTCATGTTTTTCCCTTTAACTACAAGTAATAGCTTTTTGATATATAGAACCAAGCTTCATCAGAGTTTTATCAATTCTGTGTTGTGTTTATGCCATACCCTATAACAAGTTTTCAGGTCCTTCAACGTTCTACTACCTGTTTGTCAAAACTTTTATCCTAAAAATGCCATGCACATCTATGAAACTTTTGTCAAATTTTTCTCAGCAACTATAACACATTACTTCTTGATACTAGTACATGGCACCAAGGTTCATTTGATTATGCCATACAGTGTGACATCTTTTCAGTCCTCTTTGATGTTTTACTTTCTGTTTGCCAAAGAATGTTTTTACAATATCATGCACAAACAATATATATGAAATTTTTGTCACATTTAGTCAACAACATTGGGAATGAGTATAATTGCTCACAGTTCATCTTGTTATTTTTGTTCTGTAACTTTGTGAAGGGGAGTTAATTTACTGATGTTGCTTTGCTTTTATAAATGAGTTCTTTGGTACAAATTACAAGTTTATGATAGAAAAATAGATTCACTATTGGAAATATATTAAACATGTTACAGCAATGATGTATCAGATATGAACCAACATGTACTCATTGGAATAGCAATATTACTTTTAGAAACATGAACAGTATGATTGGAAAAAGTTTGAAGCTAGCGCACCACCTCACATATTTAATGTGGCTGCTCGGGCTTACCAAAGGATGCGTGAAACAGAGACTAATCAGGTCATATTGGTTAGTGGTGAGTCAGGAGCTGGAAAAACCGAAAGTACCAAACTCATGGTCAAACATTTTGTTCATATGTGTCCACACGGAAATGACGATCTACACGACAAAGTTGTGAAGGTAAAAAATTGTAATTTAGATAGATATATTATTAAACTGACATATGCAAATGGTTTTATCAACTGTGTGCTCATCTTAATATGCTTTTATAGATGCCTATTTCTGTTGCTTCGTTCAAAGTGGCTAGTAACAGAATTCAAATGATACAAAAATTAAAAAGATTTAAGTATGAATTGAAGTGTATAAAAATATTAGATATATGACATATATGCGATGTATTTCATATGTGCGAAGGAATTAGTTAATGAATTATTTAGAGATTTTCTTTAATTAGACTCCTGTAAAGCAGTTATAACAGTTACAGTTGTTATTATATTCTTGAATATTTTAAGGTGAATCCCCTGCTTGAAGCATTTGGTAATGCACAGACAATTATGAATGAAAATTCCAGTAGATTTGCAAAGTTCTTGGAGCTAAGTTTTGAGGAAAATGGACAAGTGCTTGGAGGTAAAATATAAACTTTAACGATAACAATTTTATTTGATGGCTTTAGATAATTAAGGATCTCTCTTTTTAATGAATTTACAGATGCACATATCATAGGCACCACTGCCTGAAAGTTTATATCAAGGAAATTTTAGGACTAAAATATCTCTTTTTGAAATGATAGATTTAAATCAAAAGACACTCTTAATTCTCTCAATGAACAATTGAATTCAAAACAGTATATTTATAATAAATGACTTTTAGAAATGTAGTGGAAATAATTACAACCTGAAAAAAGCACATGTTATCGTATAAGAAATGAAAACAACACTGTATTAATTGCATGCGTCCCAAGTTCTTTTCTTAATTTACCATCATCAAGAACACTCATAGCCTAATATTTGAAAGACAAGGATGTATAAGAACCAAGACAATTTCAGAGCTTTAGAACTTATACATTTTTTAACAAAAAGATTACTACCACATTATTATTTAATGCAAAATGCACATTCCTGTTTTTCAGCTGTTGTTCGTGACTACATGCTAGAGAAATCCAGAGTGGTAAATTATAGTTATGATGAAGGGAACTTCCATATTTTCTATTCCTTGTTTGCTGGCGCCACTCGACAACAATTGGAAGAACTAAGTCTGAAAGAAGCCAAAGATTACAAGTTGGTATCTATCTCTCACAGAAAGAGAGATAGTGTTTGCATCTGTTTTTTATTTGTTTTCTTTAAAATATTTGCTTGCATACTGTGGATTCATTAAAATTCGTTGAATATCAATTTTCATAGATTTCTTGGTTACAGGGAAACCATGAATTTAAATGCTCAACTAATTACAAATTTTCTATAGGAATGTATGCAAACATTGACGAAAATACACTTTTTCCTCAATCAATGAAAATCGGTACATATGAAATAAATGAATCCACGGTTTACTGTTCCTTTGGTTATTTATTTAGAATATTTTTGATGATGGTGATCTCCAAATATTGTGATGTTTACGAAAGAATGTTATTTTGTTTAATGGGGATCAATACACTTCAAATGCAGTCTTACAATCTCTTGACATAGGATATTTGGTCATGACCTCCTTGGGTAAACTGAAAAAACATCATGGTGATAGAATGTCTTAAAATTACAATTACAATACTAATTATGTGCATATATGTTATCAGAAATAAAAAGTAAATTAAATATTGATTACAGTTTTCAAATATAAAAAAAAACATGGTAAAACATGACTCAATGTCCAGGTAATTAAAATTCTGCATGTTCAATAGTATTTAATTTAAATATTGTTGGAGCTATTTTCCTAATGCTTGTAGTTTAAGGTTTGGTTGGTTTGCTTGCTTTGTATGTATCAATGTTTGCTCAAGCATTGTAATAAAGATTGGCATCTGCAATCAAAAGATAGGTGGGGCTTCAGCTTGTATACATTAAACTTAAATGTTATTGGATGTTAAGTATACAGCAGAGTATAATGTATTCAAGCTGAAGCCCTGCCTATTTATTAATTGCAGATGTCAATCTTAATTACAATGCTTGAGCAAACTTTCATACCAACAAAGCAAGCAAGCCAACCAAACCTTGAAACTACAAGCATTAGGAAAATAGCTCTAATCTTGAAACTTTATTTTGCTTATTATTTTAACAAAATTTGAAAAGAATCTAATAATTCTTGTTGAAACATAGTAATTAAGTTCTGCATACACAACCATTCTTCATTTGGAGAAGATTAAACCATAAAATTCTAAATTATTTAGAAGAAAAAAAACCTCTTTATTATGCGTTTGGAAAATTTGTCACTGTTTTGCCTTTTGAGATTACAGTTACTGCAATTATTATAATAAGAAAACATTAACAGCTGTCTATCTGGTTTATAGATAAATGTTTCTTGTCTACAATGTAATAATTATTTGAAATATATCTATATTATAGAATATTGAAGAATGGTAGTCCTGAATTATTGAACAAAACTACAGAGTACAGTCAGATGTACACAGACCAGATGAGTGTATTACACCAAATTGGCTTTGATGAAGAGGTATGATGGATGATAATTCTTTTGTTGTCATAAGACCCTTTCTGAATATTAAACACACACATTTATTGCAAATATAGATTGAAATATTTAGAATTTCTGGTAAAATACTGAATGAAAATTACTGCAAAAAATTTTGGTCACTTTAAAGTATTCAAAATTTAAGTGATAAGCAGTAAAATTAAGAGAAAGCATTTTTAATTCTATATATCGTGAATGTCAAAATTTAAATTCGCTATATTCTATTGCATGAAAAATTACGTTGAATAACTGAAAATATTAATTTTTCATTACGTACCTATCTGAAAGGGATATAGCTTTTATTCCTACACAATAATGATATTAGTGATATAATGTAAACTTGGGTACTTTTTTAGGACATGGGTATTCTACACTGCATGCTAGGTGCTATTATTCATATAACTGAGGTGAAGTTTAGAGAGGCAGAGAAACACAATGAAGCTTTAGAAATTGTTAACCTTGATCATGTTAATACAGGTAATACTATTTGTTTTATCAAATTTTACTTTCTGGTAAGCTGAATCTTCTATTTAAAGGACAAGGTTCACTTTCGCCCAAATATGGCCTTGAATTTCAACTTTTTCATAAAATTTCAAAATTGCTAAAATTTGGTTCATAAATGGATCTATTTCAAAAACCTTACTTCTTTTTAAAAATAAATCTCTTCATAAGAGTACATTCTTGGCTTCAGAATCAGCACATTTTGAATATATTGTCAAAATACGATGATTTTGTGCATTTTTCGGACCTAAAAGCTTGAGGAAAACCTTTGGGTGGCAACCTAGGATCCAAAATGTTCTGTAATCAAAAGTTGCCAATGATGATTATGAATTCCTAGACACAAACACTTTCTGGATTGTGGGTGGCGGCCAAAGTAAATTGTGTAAAAAACTGAAGAATTATTGAAAATTTGACCAAAACTGACGTTACAACACAAATAGTGCATACTTAAGGAGTCAATACTTCTGTCTTTTTAATGTGATGTACCAGAATGAAGATATTTTGGGTTTAAGGTAATATCTCAACTATTTCTATGTGAAATTTGTAAATTTTTCGCCTGATTGAAAAAAACATCAATAATTAAGGGCCAATTTTAACCCTTCGTGAACCTTCTCCTTTGTTCATAATTTATTTATATTGAATATATAGCAATGTCAATTAGACCTCCTGAAGACAACATTATAAAGTGAAGGTCTTTTTGTGTCTATAAAACGCATTGATACATAACATGCACCCCCTTTTTTGATCCTTGAAACTGGAGAAAAAAAAAATCTTCACATATAACACACACAGATATTTTTAAAAAGTCCCAACTTCAATTTCAGTAAGGCAGCCATTGAAACAGGATTTTTTTGTACAAAAAGTTGATTCCAGTTCCAGGTTACAAAAAAATGTTGCCGAATTAAAGAGTTTATTGAACAATTTTGGTTTTTACCTGCATCACCATCGTCGAAGGCAGGTCTAGTAACCTCTTGTCTCTGTCCATCTGTCCGTCCGTCAGTCCAAACTACCTTGGGTTGAAAACATTTGTCAAAGTTTTTTTTTGGGCTTATATTGAAGAAAATGCTTTTATATTTGGTCAAAAGCTTGATAATGATGAGTTGTAGTGTGCAAGTAATATTTACATCTGGTGTGCAGCCACTCTCTGTTTGCTGATAGTTTTTATTTTTACAATACTCATTGTACAAGGAAATTTTTGGTCAAAGTTTGCCTGGCTTTAATGGTAAGGAATGATCATTTATGCTGCAGTATACATGCAGCGTTGATCAATTGCATGCAGAAACACAAATCCAGACCAAGTATTTGTCTTGTTTTAATTATTTCATGGATGTGTGCTAGTTTGTAAAGAAACAGGCAGTGTTAAACGGGAAGTTATTAAGAAAGAAAATTGATGTTGATGAAATGTGCATGGATAGGATTATTCTGTAGCAATTAATAAATGAACTTCATTCTAATTTTTAGAAGATAATATAAATCTGTACCAAAAAAAAATTGCTTTGAAAACATTAATTAATTTGTCAAAGGATAAAAACAAAGTTTAATTAGTCTGGATTATCTCTTTAGGTATTTCATGCTTGCTATTACAATTAATTAAAAAGTTAAAATCATCATATCAAAACATCATTAAGTATTTTACATGAAAGGACAATGGCTTTAAGATGTCATTAATCTCTGAGGCTTATTAAAAAATCATGATTATTAAACTATTATTGATGATCAATTGAGTAGTCTCTTCACAACAAATTAATTTACAGGTTAACCGTGTTCCATAGTCAAGTTTTTAACAATATGGGATTAACATGTCTGGAATTATGATTTATAAGAAGGTTTTATACAGGTTTTTTAAGTACAAATGTATAAAATCATTACTTAATTTACAATGTTCAAAGTCACATGACATGTGAGCTCCTGATACAACAGTTTTTTTTTAATGTGACTGTTCTTGTCAAAACCAACGTCTTTCATTTAATTTTCTTACAATTACCTTTTGCATTCCTTGTTAGAACACATATATAGACACGTAATGAAATTATCAAACACTAATGGAAATTTGGCCATTGACAAAAATATCTTCTCATCTTAATTTGGATGTTACCGAATCTACCTTCCAGGCTACATAGAGCTGGACTTATTTACACAAGAAAATAACAAAAAGTCAATGGAAATGTTGCAATTACGAAACAAGAAAGGCCAACAAAATTAACACATTTTTACGTATATCTTATATCACACTCTGTTTAGTGTGATATAAGAAATATCTGTTCATGTGGGAAATAGATAGCAGGCCACAACCGTAAGAGAAATCCTTCTTAACATTACAGGATTTATTATTGGGAGCCTTTATAGTGAGCCTAAGTTATAAAATTACATTGTTATTGGGTCACATAAATGGCAGCAATTATGCCACATAAGTTCTCCTAGGGTTCTATGGGAAATATATGAAGTGACTATAATTACCACACAGCTCTTATTATTCATATAAATAGTCCATTATTAAGATTCCTCACTCCATTCCAGCATACCTGTCAACTGACCCATATCCTGTGGGTCACAACTAAGAATTTCACCCCATACCCGGGAGTTTTTAAATACCTGCCGGGTCGTTAAATAACCCGGGAATTGGAAAATGACCCTTTTTCACCTTGATTCTTGAGCTGAAAAACAGTGGACTATTACCACAGCCAGAAGTTATTCAGTATTCTGGTAATTTAGAATACATCAATAAATTTTTGCAAATATCCAGGCCAATTCTGTGTAAAATTAAAAAAAGACTTGAATAGGTGTGATATGGTTTTAGAATGGCCATTGTCAACTTTGGGCATATATTCAAGTGAGCATTACAAACTCTTAAGAGCCTCTAGTTTTGTTTATTTTTCAGCTGCAAAGTTGTTGAATGTGAATCCATTGGACCTTGGTGTAGCACTAATAAAGACAAAGACAGATTATGGAGGTAAAGTCATTACTATGACAATTTTCTACCATTGTTGGGCGCATTTATACATTACTCAGATTAAAAATAATTTAAACCATATAGAGGTTAGATTGCCGCAGTCATTATCCATCTTGTGTTTGCACACAAGTTATTATATTTCTACAGTTTCAATATATAAATTTTATATTTCTAATTTGTCAGATTTTTGTGTGCTTAATATCTAAAAGATTAACTATCTTGAGTGGAGAGATATTGCAACTTACTTGCAACAGAAGGAGAATCCACATTTCAAGTACTAAAAATTTTCAAGTTGTAGCCAGGTTAATATCTTTGGTGGTTCAGTGTTATAAGACCAAGCAAATATGTGGAAAATATTAGTAGCCTAGCTCAAATTTAAGGGGCCATGGGCTACTGGGCACCTGCTTTTTTCCATCTCTGTGTTAAAAGTTTCAAATGAACACATATTGCTGCCAATAGCCTGTTATTAGGGATTATTTTAAAAGTACTGATATTTTTCTGCACTATTTTGTATACTATATTTATTAGTCCCCTACTGACGAAGTCGAAGGGGACTTTAGGTTTGCACTCCATCCGTCTGTCTGTCTGTCTGTCCGTCTGTCTGTCCTTCTGTCAGTCTGGCAAATCAGCTTTCCACACTTTTTTTCTTCATGCTTGAAGATATTGATTTGATATTTGGTACATTGTTTTATAATGACAAGTTACAGATCAAGTTCGAATTTTGTTCCGGTCTGATAATTTAGTCCAGAGTTATGGACCATAACTCTGGACCATATCTAATGTCAGAGTACTATGTTAAACCATATTTCTGTACAAAGGGAGATAACTCATTTTTTAAAAGACATTCATTGTTAAATTTTTTGAAGAATTTTTTAGCAGGTTTGTTTGTTATTTAGTATAAACTAATTTTCTGAATGCTATATATATATATAAAGAAATATTTATAAAGAGAAATCCTTTAATTAGATAATAATCTATTTTTATTAATGTATATATTTCAATACATTACATTGTGTAGATAAATGTTGTTGACATTTTATAGATAAGTTACAAATCTATATTAGTTTGTGACAAATGAAAGAAAAAATATTTGGAACTATTAATTATATTTGATTATAATTTGAAAATAGATATACACTGTATTACATCATATCTAATTTTAGAGAACTATTAAACATATCTAATGTTTTTTTCACTCATATAATCAGTTTTCCACACTGTTTTTAGTCATGCTTGAAGATATTGACATGATATTTACTTTTTGTTTACACCATGACAAGTTTTAGAACAAGTTAGCATTTTGTTCCAGTAAAACGAATTTTTACCTGGTAGGGGACTATGTATTGCCATGCAATACTCTCAGAATGCTTGTTAATTTTTACTCTTTAATAGTTTGTTCAAATGCAGACTATACAGATTGTTTGTTTCTTAATTTTGTATTTTTTGCATGTATATATGTATGTGTTTGTGTGAGAAGTATTCATGCAAAACTCATGTTGAAATACTGTAGTATGCAGAATAATGAAATTATTTATGAAGTAAATGGTAAAAAAAAACTATTAAGGTTAAATGTCAAAGAATTCTAGAACTAAACTTGCATTTTTTCCTTAGGTTTTGGAGGTAAGAATATGTAGAATTTCTAGAGGTGTGTTTTTTTCATTAGATTGATTTGTAACACTGTTCATTTGCAATTTGTTCATTCACGGTTAGTTCATTTTCTTTTCTTTTGATAACCCTTCATACTGCATTTAGTTTAGACCAACTCAAATATTCAGTTGAAATCTAAATAGTGTGCTAATAAATAAGTTGACATTGAAATTTTAGCTATGGAAGATATCATTATTGCAGTGATTATATCTTTTTTATTTTGATATCAATCAATAGACACGTAAACTTTCTGACATTTAATTTGCTGAATATTTTACATAATTATGTAATTATTTTGAAATTGTGAGGTGACAATTTAGTACAAGGTTTTAAAATACACTTAAAATATACTGTTTACATGTTATCTTTTTTTTATGCAGTTATTTTATGGATATAGATTTATCATTTTCAAAATAAGCTTTTACTGATATTCACTGTTGAGTGACCATCATGATATATTACACAGGATTTACACTTTTATGTCAGACAACTTTATAGAGAAATACATTTGAGGTAGATGGAGATTAAATTGATGATGATGACTCCCCTATAAGGTTTGAGGTCTTGTGTTCTTCATAGAAGACCTCAACAATAATTGTCAAGATAAACAAAAGCAATAATTGTTTTTTGTCGAGCCTGCAAAATTTATTTCTTGAAAGCAAGACATAGCAATCCTATATCCTGTCGTCGGCGGTGTCAACATTTAGATTCAGTCTGTGGTTAAAGTTTTATAAGACATCAATAAATTTGTCAAACCTACATGGAATTTTATGAAATTTGGACAGAAGCTTGTTTATGACCAAAATACAGTATCCAGAGCAAAATTTTGAAAATATTTATTTTCATTTTTCCATATTTTACTGATAAATGGACTTAGTTTTTTTTACAGTTAACATTCATATTTAGTCTGAGGTCAAAGTTTTTCAGTCATCAATAACTTTGTCAAGCCTTCATGGAATGATATGAAATTTGGACAGAAGCTTGTTTATGAACAAAATACAGTATCCAGAGCAAAACTTTGAAAATAATTATTTTCATTTTTCTGTTTTTACTGATAAATGGACTTAGTTTTTTACAATTAACTAGTAGATACAGTCTGGGGTAAAAGTTTGGTACACATCAAATACTTTGTCAAACCTTCATACAATTTTATGAAACTTTTTTATGATTAAGAGATAATGTCTGAAGCAAACTTTTGAAAATATATTTTCATTTTCAGTATTTTTTTGATAGATGGACAGTCTGGGATTAAAGTTTTTTGACATAAGTTTGTTAACCTTCATGGATTATTATGAATCTTGGACAGAAGCTAATCTTCAAGGCAAAGAAATAGCATCTAAAGAGAAAGTGATTTTTTTTCTAAATTCTGTGGACTCCCTTTTTAAGTCAACATGAGACTTTTACACCGACAGCAGCAATTGTAGGCGATACACAGGGTTCTGGGGAACCCCTTACAAATTTTTTGATACATTGGATGTATATAGTATTTCAATGAAATTTTGTATCGTGTACATACACCCAATATCATTTCTTTTATTGTTCATAATCAGAAAATTTGTTTCGAGAAAATATATATAAGTTTTTTAAAAATGGCTCACAGGTTTTTTTTATAGCTGCTTTCAAGTGTATACTTGATCTAATTTATTTGCTTATTAGTTTATGTTTGGTATTTGATAGTAACAAGCTAAACCTTTTTTCCCTTTCACCTATATTTTTTTAGCATATTTAACAAAGATGTAGGTAGTTTAAAGTAGAGCAGAAAATTCAAAATAACTGAAGGATTAAAAGTGCTTTTAAAATGATTACCAATCTTAATCATTAAGCTTAGAAAACTATCATTCTTTATCATTAGGCTCAGAAAATTGTCATTCTTAATCATTAGGCTCAGAAAATTGTCATTCTTAATCATTAGGCTCAGAAAATTGTCATTCTTAATCATTAGGCTCAGAAAATTGTCATTCTTAATCATTAGGCTCAGAAAATTGTCATTCTTAATCATTAGGCTCAGAAAATAGTCATTCTTTATCATTAGGCTCAGAAAATTGTCATTCTTGATCATTAGGCTCAGAAAAGTAAAAAAATTAAATGATATTTTGCTATGGATAATAGTTGTAAATATTTGTTTTATTTAACAGGTTATCCCATTGGTGATTACTTTTAGTTAGTTTGGAGGATCATTACTGTTTCCATGCAATAACTTGAGATCTATTCAATCAATACGTTTCAAATTTCATTCTTTTTTTCTCTGACATTACCAGGCTGATATCCAGTTGAAATTAAACAAAAGAAGTGAAACTCTTTATTAGAGAAGGTAAAAAAGGTCAAGTTGGTATATTTGAATTGTTTACATCTGTTTCTATGGGCTTTAAAAGTTTAATGTCTTCGCATGATTTAGGATGTTTTGCATCTTATATACGTGATTTTACTTAAATTATTGTATGGTACTTAAAGATTGTGGTAGTTACAAATACCTGTGGATCTTTTTTGTGCATAAGCATAAAATCCACAAAAAGATAAAAGAATGATCTTTTTAAAGAATTAATTTGCATCTTTGCCCCCAGTGACAGTTTTTTGTGAAAAAATCCTAAAAATGGGAAATAACCTCATCGAAAAGAGAAATTCGTGTACACCTTTTTATGTTCAGGCGTGTTTGAGTTGACTGTTTTGTCTTGAAAATGTATAAAGCAAACATATTTGATACATCTTCTCGCTTCAGATTCTATTATTTTTATATATTTATGCTACAGGTTGATATGATAACATTAAAAATTTACAGTAGTAAAAAATGAAATAAATGGATCAAGTGAAATACCTTTGTAATGAGTCATGATAACAGAATAGGTGTGTTTAAATAACAAATTTTAACTTAAAGTTCTTGACCACATACTTTACAAGTGGATCTTAAAAATGCATAACTTTAAAAAAAAAATCATTTTTTTGTGTGTGGTATCTAGGGTAATAAGTTTTTAACCTCTTTAACTTTCGAAAATTCCCCCTGACAGCCGATCGGAAAATTTGTTTTAAGTTGACAAAAGGCTTAAAAGTACATTTAATGATGTTCAATAGCTAGTAGATACATTTGTCTTTTAAAATACAACTGTCATGCAAGAATCGTAATGAAGCTATGTGGATAAATTTATCGGTTTTCAAGAGCTTAATTGACATCATGTCATCCCCACAATGTCTTCCATTTTTAAGATTAAAAAATTAGGTGGCGTAATGGGGAGATAATTTTGACGAAGTAAAATCCTGACTGTGACAAAATGGTCAAGTTCAATATTTTCACTTTTGCCATTGAGGAGTTATGGTCCTTGATTGTCTGAAAATTATGTTTTATGTTGTTTCAGTGCTATAGCTTAAAAACTAGCTATTTAACCAATCCTTTTTAAATTTTATTTCTCCATGAAAAATGGAGGTCAATTTCTATGTTGCCAATTTTCATTTTTGCCAATCAGGAGGTATGGTTCTTTAGATTGAAAAATGCAGCTTATTGTCTTTATCAAATCCATGAATTTGTAACATATTCCTTTATAATGTTAAAAGTTGTAAGGTTCCAATCAACACAGAAGTTACTTTGAATGTTCATAGAAGCACATGAGCATGGAATCTCTCATCACATTTTCTGGGCTTTCACTAATTTGTACTTGATGTTCAGATATGCTGGGCTTTCACTAATTCGTACTTGATTTTCAGATATGCTGGGCTTTCACTAATTCATACTTGATGCTTCAGATTTTTATTGTGTCTAATAATAAGATTGATTTCTTTGCTACTTTTTGTTGTGTCTGATGACATAATGGAGGTCAGGTTTTATACTGACAGTTTTCACTGATGCTGTTTAGTAGTTATAACCATTGATTGCTTTAACAATGACTAATATATGTATCACTCACAAGCGTGCCCTCCTAAAATGTCATGTGTCTTACCCTCCACCAAAAACCTGATGTTTTCAATCAAGACCCTTATGACTGCCATAGATGTTTTGACGTCACTGAGAACATATTAGTACTAAAAGTGTTTTTAGATGTTTAGGTGTCTTAAAATGGACACTTTTCTTACAATCAAAATTGTTGGACACATTTGGGCAATTTGTGTTTTTTAGGACACGTTTGAACAAAATAGACATGTTTCAGTGAGGCAGACACATTTGAGGGATGGACACATTTAAGAGTGTTACATATGTATATAAGAAAAAAACCTGTTTGCTGTCTTTTTTACAACATCTTTTCAATGTTTATGATCAGGTTGAAAAATGTTATGTGAACAAAAGAGGATGTAGGGTATATGTCAATGAGAGGGCAACCAAACAAGATAACAATGTTGGAAAGACATTACTTTTCCACATATGGTATACAACAATAGACCAATGACTACATCATATGTCAAGCTTTTGAATTGTAGTTGCACCAATTCTAGACAAAAAATGAATGAATATAAAATTGATAACCAAATAAAGCAAGATATTTTTAAAAATTCAGTATTTCATGAAATTAATTGGTTTTGTGCACTTGATTAAAATGATTTTTTTGAAGTGTATATTTGATTGGACTAGACAGATATAAAATACAGACATTTACGTTTAAGGTGAAGAAATCCATGTCCTAAAAAGTTTGAACCAGGCAAATGATGGACGGGATGCCCTTGCAAAAGCTATTTATGAGAGGCTGTTTGGCTGGGTGATCAGGACAATTAATGATGACCTCAATCCATCCAAGCAAAGGTTAGAACTATAAGATACAACTAATTATAAAATACTCCATTGTCACTGACTTGGACAGCAAACTTTTTAAGTGTCATGCTCATCAGGAAAAGGATTTTTCCATTTATCCTAAGTTTAAAGAACTTTTGCAATAGAAAGCAATAATTTTTTGTGTATGAGGAGCTATGTTATAGTTGAATTAGTTCAAATGCTCACATGATTTTTATGTCAAATTCAAATTAGGTGAGTTGATGGAGAAGTTGATTTGATTTTAAATTTAACTGCAAATGAAGTCTTTCTTGAAATGTTGAACATTAGACACAAAAAGGAAATGTGATTTTTTAAAGGTCTCCATAGAGCATAAAAATAGACAAAAAAATATTTAGGTAATGAGTTTTTTCCAGATTTGAATTCTTTGATTATTTATTCTTTTTATAACATTGACCATGGGCTTTTTAATGGAAGTAAAGTATAGAATACATGGCTTTTGGATTATTTAAACTGTTTCACTGCTATTTGTATACTCTGGATTTTTTCCTTTTCGTGGGTTCTAATTTTCATTGATTGAGGAAAAATGTATTTTCGTGGATATTTGATTTCATTGTTTTTCCAACGTCTACATACAAGCCTATAGGAAATTTACACTTTTTTGAACATTCAAAATTGGTTGTTGACTGATACCCACGACATCCAGGAAAATTGGTATCCTAATATTATAAATAATGAGTATAAATTCCAGATCACTGTAGAAGGGTGATATATTTGCATTATAATTTGCCTATGTTGATAATGTTTAGACTTCACAACAATGCCTGAAATATTTCTAAATTATTTTATTGTTTTTTTCCTACTATACTTTAACAGGAGTAGAATTGCTGCAAGTATTGGAGTTTTGGACATAGCAGGATTTGAAAATCTACATGTCAACAGTTTTGAACAATTGTGTATCAACTTTGTTAACGAGAGATTACAGAACTTCATGAATGAGAGTGTATTTAGGACTGAGAAGGCTATTTATAAAGAAGATGGCATTCCATGCCAAGATGTAGATTTTAAGAACAACAAAGACATAATTGAAGTTTTTACAAAGGTAAAATTATTATGGTTATGGCATAGAATGTTAGCAACTACAGGCAACTGTATGGCCTTCAACAATGAGCAAAACCCATACCGCATATAGCAAGCTACAAAAGGCCCTGAAATGACAAAATGACTGCTGTTTTGAATGCATATGTAAAAGTTCTATCTTTGTATTATAGTTGAATACAATGTATTATCATTCCAGAAATACTTAGGAGAAGTTAAGTGCAAAGTTCTATGCTTTGATAGAGTCAGCCTGTCGTCCACTTTTCTAATCTGTTAGATGGTTAAGGATGACAGCTTTTAATCTCGGTTATGATGTTGTAATGTTTAAAGGGCGATATGAATTACATACCCTATGCTAAAATTAAATACATTTGAGAAGCTTCTATTAGCTAGATATTCTTACTGGAAGTCTATTGTTAATTTTCATATAGATATAGTAAAATACTTACAGAAAAAAATATTTATAAAAATAGTTCAAACAGGTGTGTTAATAAATTGATTTATTTTAGAAACCAATTGGTATCTTGTCACTGCTGGATGAAGAAACAAAACTACAGCAAGGTTCCGAGGAAAAGTTTGTACAAAAAGTCACCAGTAATCACTCCGATTCAGGAATCATTATGAAGAGCACTACCAATGATCCTGTGTTTGGTATTAATCATTTTGCTGGAAAGGTTAGTGTGTAGAATGAGGCTTTCCAAATATATGGTTGGAGGAAGCAGGGTGTGGAGGGGTCATCTTGAATTGGTTGTAAGTTGTTGGAGTTTTTCAAATGATTGAGGATTTTTAGAGTTTTAGTTTTTGGGCTTCTTGTTCAAATTTCAAGATTTTTCCTTCTATAATATTTGATACCTCACATGTATCAAACCTTCAATTTATCTAGATTTGTTCAATATAAATTTAACGAAAAGCATGTGTCTTTGTTGGATATTCACATGTATGTCCTTCCTTATAATAGTATTTTATTATTATTAAGAAATGATTGCTTTTATTCTAAGACAGAACAAGTATGTTATATTTAGAATTATAATTACTTTACATTTTAATATTTCTGGAAAAGAGAACAAAAATGAAGTTGTACAGAGGGCTACACACCAATTTATAAACAAGTTATATTATTGTTTTGTACAATTTTGTTTTATTCTTTTGTGATCACTTTTATTTTGTCCTTAGGTTTTATACAGATGTGAAGGTTTCTTAGAGAAAAACAAAGATACATTGAACGATGATTTGTTTGATTGTATGAAGGACAGTGAAAATCCATTTATAAAGGACTTGTTCACAGTCGCAAAGGGACCTACTGGAACTATTTCTGAGTAAGTACATTGTCAATGTACTGATATTTTGATATAAGATCAGTATAATCAAGAAATTAGGGTCCAATTGTTGCCCTCTATTCTGAACCTTGGCATAATGTCTTGAAATTTTGTTTTGTGGGATTGTTGTCTCATTGGCATATACCTTACATCTCCTTTATTTATATGAAACAAGTTGAAATCCATCCTTTATAGGTAGTATATTTTCTAATGTATGAACATATTTTGATATTTGGAAATAGTAATTGTTCAATTGTTTTACAGTAATCAACAATTTATATAGACTTAAAAAACTTAATACTCAATCACAATTTGTCAAGCTAGAAAATTATAGGTAAACACATTTTTAAGGTAGAGTTCATCACTTCTGTCCTAAATGTGCCATCCTTACTCTCCATCTAATAAATTTTAAAAGGAGAAGGTCCAGTAAGGGCTTATTTTGGCCTAAAATTTGAAGTACATCTGATGAAAGATTTTTAACATTCTTTTATTCGATTCAATTAGTTTATGTAAAAGACTTGAACTGATTTGGTCAATAAAGACTGCTAACTTCAAGCTTAAATATGAAAAATCTATCAAATATGCCACAAAACGTCACTTTTCAGATGGTTTTTGACTAAATTGGAAGAGGCCACATTCGTGTTCAGTCTGAACCTCTATATATGTTATGTATCATCATCAAATGCAACATATATTTAAATATTATTGCGAACCAAATGAAAGTTTTCACCAGAATCATCTCCAATTGGTCAATCAATTTAAACTTTTGTCAGTTCTATTGTCCCATTGAATAAATACAATAGCTATTGTTCTCTGTGTAGTTTATTCACTGGGACCTTTAAAGGAGTAGGTTCGATAAGGCCCTAAAATGGTGCCCCTTTTTAGCTTAAGTTTCAAATTAGGACTTATTGACCAATATCACAATGAATCAATTAGCTAATGCAGTGACTAGATAGGAAATAAGTCTTTTTGTTGAAAATTTACGTTCCTGCGTTTTATTTATGATGTCACAAATAGTACTCATTTTGATTTTTCACGAAAAATCAATAAAAATGAGTAAATTTCCATTGATTATTGGACAGGAAACATAGAGTGCATACATCAACAAAGAAGATCTTTGAAAATAATGTTTGTAATGACATTTTACATGTCTAACTTGAATATTTAGTTTGTCGACGGCTGCGCTCTATGTTTCCTGGTCCTAAATTTGGCTGAAATCCGGCCGATTTTATCAAATTCGCAAAAAATCCCTTATTTTGACCTTATTGTGATGTAAAAATCAAGTTTTAGAATAAAACTTTGACAGAAATAGTTCTATATAACTTTCTCACATGTCTTTAAGTCAATTTAAAACATTTTTTATCTAGTAACATTGAACTTTATAATCTGGGCCAAATATGGCCCATTCCGAACTTACTCCTTTCTTCTAAGAGAAATCCATCACTCATTGATTAATTTACCTGTGTAAATTATCTTCTAAAAGATGGAAATACATGTTTTTACTCACAAAACTGCATGTGATGTTGTATTTGTTCAATATCAATAATATATTTTTAATCTATTCAATGTAAACAATGATTCAAGCATTAAAAGTTGATATCTGACTAAATTTTCAACATTGTTTCTATTGATTTTTTTTTTGTGTTTGACAAATAAAACTGGAAAATGACGATGTTTAAATTAAGACCTTCTTAAATGTATTCTATAACTAAAAAAATATGCAAATTTCAATAGGAACAATGATAAAAATTTCGTCAGAAATCAACTTTTTATGATTAAATCAGTGTTTATGTTGAACAAATTGAAAATATGTTATTCATATTAAATAACATTAGACTCCTAATCTTTTCAACGTTAGATCAGAATAGATTTATCTACTGTTTTAAGGATTAAAAAAATTGTACTTGAAGGTGATCCATCCCCCTTTTTTTTACTCAGCATAGTTGGTTGTATTATTCTCTCCTATCTTTAGGTGTGTCTACATCTCTTTTCTATTACATCCAGTTTGAATAATCAAACATGTTATTTAATAATGTTATACTTAAAATATTTCAGAACCCAGTTCCTTTTAAGACAGTCTAGAAGAACAACTACCGCTCTCCATAAATCAAAAAAAGCTTCTACACCTAGGTCTGATGATGTGAAGAAACTTAGTAAAGAACTTGGAAGATCTTTGAAGAGGTAATGTTTTATCATAGATATGGAGATCTTGTATTATTAGCATGATCATTATTTCCTCAGTATTGAATTTTACCTCGCCTGGTTCAATGCCATGGCTAGTTATTGCCATTACCTAACACCAATTAATTGTTATATTGTCATCAAATTCTCTGAAATGTTTGGACAAATTTTAAGCAAGCAAGCTTTGCCACAATTTTATACATCCCCAACTGATGGCAATTACTCTACAAGCTTTGCCACAATTTTATACATCCCGAATTGATGGCAATAACTCTACAAGCTTTGCCACAATGTTATACATACCCAACTGATGGCAATAACTCTACAAATACAGTACCTTCACACTTTTTTACAAAAGAAATATTTTTTTTCTGAAGAAGGGTATAAAATCGTACCCACATGTTTTCATTATGCATCTCTTATTTATTTTTTATACGACCACAAAAAATTTTGCGGTTGTATATTGGTATAACGTCGTCGTCGTCATCGTGGTCGTGGTCGTCCGAAGACATTTGGTTTCCGGACAATAACTTTAGTATAAGTTAATAGAAATCTATGAAATTTAAACACAAGGTTTATAACCACAAAATGGAAGGTTGGGATTGATTTTGGGGGTTATGGTCCTAACAGTTTAGGAATTAGGGGCCAAAAAAGGGCCCAAATAAGCATTTTTCTAGTTTCCAGACAATAACTTGTGGAATGGTGTATGAATCTCTCTGAAATTATACCACAAGTTTCTATACCACAAAGGGATGGTTAGGATTGACTTTGGGGGTTATGGCTCAAACCGTTTAGGAATTAGGGGCAAAAAAGTGGGAAAAACAAGAGTTTCCTGGTTAATGGACAATTTAAAAGCAGTGTAAGGGAGGTAATCCAAACACATTTAAAGTACAATGTTGTTTATATTTGGATTACCTCCCTTACACTGCTTTTAAATTATGTAAAAAGAAATGTTGTATTGTCTTGGTGTTACTATTAAAAGAATATTAATTTTAGCCATGATTATGTATGTCATTTTCTATTTTAAGACTTTTATGATGTATTTAATTGGTAATTATGGTTTCAAACTCCATTGGAAATTTGAATTGAGATTATGACCATATCTTGAGGGAAAGAATTTTTTTTGGGGGAAAAAGGGGGGGTGGGGTGTGAGAAAAAATTTGGGGGGGGGGGGTGTTAAATAAGAAATTGTGGGGGAGGGCAATTTTTTCTCATTTCAGATTTCAGAAATTAAAAAAGAAAATTTCTTCAAATATTTTTTTTTTGCAAAAAAAGGGAGGGGGTAAAACAATTTTTTTTTGTTTGGGGGGGTCAATAAGCAACAGCATAGTTTATTGCACAAAAGCAAAAATAAGGGGGGTAATTTTTTTTTGGGGGGGGGTCAATTTGCAACAGCATAGTGTATTGCACAAAAGCAAAAAATTGAATATAAATTCAAATCGTATAAACAATTCTAAGTTCTTTGACTACGGTTATTCTGTGTCAGAAACTATTATGTATCAAATATTTAATTACAATCAAAATTCAGACCTGTATCAAGCGCAAATATTGTGTCCATTTTTGCCCCAACTGTTCAGGGTTGGACCTCTGCGGTCGTATCCAGCTGCGCTCAACGAAGCATTTTGTTCAATCTTAATATATGTGTTTACATGGACTTTTTAATATCTATTCATGTGAGTGTTGTATGAACTTGGTGTGCTTGTTATCAGTACATTTTAATATAATCATGGTACTCATTTAAATCCAAAACCAGCTGTACTTATTTCCAATAAGAATACATAGCTGAGCTATATTAGACACTGTTTGTCTGTCTGTCCATGTACCTTGTCAGGACAACTCTTCATAGATTGCTAGAAAGATGTTAATGAAACTTTACACAGTTACAGAACACTAACTCTGCATGCTCCTATAGAATATTATCCAGGTCCAACATGATAAATGGGGAGATAATCAAACTTACTCCAATATACTAAGTGCTGGGGTATCCTATTGTGAGTTCACTAATAGTACTAGTTAAATTAGCAACAAAACAAATAACAGAAGTTCTTAGTCTGTTTTATCAGTTATTTTTCATATTATATTTTATTAATTTTTGCAGATATGGTGTGTCAACAGGAATGATGCCGAGTTATAGTGCAAAGAAACACAACACTGTTATTTCATATTTTAGGGTAAGTTAATATAATGCATTTTTAGTGTATATTTATGCTGTTTTAGATGCTGATATTGTTACATGTTTAAGCCTGTTATTGGAATCAAATCAATGTAAACACTATCTTGAATTGCATGAAAATACTAATATTACAGTAAAAAACCTGGACTTTAGTTGTGTAAAAGGAGAGTCATTTTTACGATGAAAAACCAAATAATAATCTTTATTCAAACTTAAATTATATGAGTTAGATTATAATAGATAAATACTATTTTTATGTCCCACCTAGGGGCATTATGTTTTTCGGTCTGTGCATCCGTTTGTCTGTCTGTCCTGCTTCAGGTTAAAGTTTTTGGTCAACGTAGTTTTTGATGAAGTTGAAGTCCAATCAACTTGAAACTTAGTACACATTTTCCCTATGATATGATCTTTCTAATTTTAATGCCAAATTAGAGTTTTGACCCCAATTTCACGGTCCACTGAACATAGAAAACGATAGTGCGAGTGGGGCATCTGTGTACCATGGACACATTCTTGTTACTAGTTAAACTGATTTTTTTTCTTTTTTCATAAAGATGCCTTTTGATTCTATTGGAAGATGTAAACCACTAAGGCTTTCAAAGTCATTATTAATCACTCAATGAAGGGTTACCATAAAGACCATTTCTTCAAGATTCTCTTCATTCCATTTATGGTGATATCAATTTTTTTTTCATTAAGACTTTGAAAGTTTGACTTATTACAAAAATCCCATACAATTCTACTTAGTTTCAACATATTTTATTGTTAAAAAACTAAACAAATGGATAAGACACAAGTTTTACAACTGAGCAATGTCTTCTCTTCTACTTGAAGTCTTGTAATTTAAATGGAGGAGATTGATAAAACTGACTATTTAATCCATTGATGACGTCTATTGTTACAGGCTTCCATGGACAAACTATTAGAGAAAATGAGGCAAGCAGAAGCTCATTTTGTTAGGTTAGTATACTTTTTGGTCAATAGGTTAATGCTCAAACTAAAATAGATAATCTACTTTAAAAAAACTATTTGTTCCTTTTGTATGGAAAGATAATTTGATCCATCAATTGTTAGTTATCTTTTTGCATCCCTAAAAGTTTAATGAAGACCTTAAATGTTCAAGTAGCTTTTAGAAGATAGGTCTTTTAAAATCAGATAAGGCTATTAAAGGCAAGAAAGATACTTGTGTACTGTAAAAAAAATAATCTCTTGTAAATAATTACGAAATAGTGTACATATAAATAAGTAAACTTGTGAAAGTGAAATATATTGCTTTGAAAGTTTGTTTAAGTTAATGTACAACTACTTTGCTGAAAGGGGTTGAAAGTATACAAATGATTAAATAAAGACGATTTTTCGTTCCCTATTGTTAATTTTCCCTTCCTTTTTGGATGGTGATGTTCCTTTGGCACCATCTTACGGTGTTTATATTTCACAACTCGTTCCCTATGCCCGTGTCTGTTGTGACGTTTTTGGTTTTAACGAACGTTATCTATGTATTACTGGTAAATTATTAAGCCAGGGATTTCGTTACCACAAATTACTTAAAACCTTTACTAAATTCTTCCACAGATATAAAGATTTGGTTTTGAAGTTTGGTTGTACCTGTAGAAAACTTATTTCAACGGGATTGCACATCCTCATTTTTATAACAATATTGTTTACCGTGCTCGGAAATTTAGAAACGATCCTGGTAAACTTATCGATCCTTTAAATAAACTTATTCTAAAAGGTTACCAATTCAACACTGTAATTAGATCATTAAATATTGTTTTTATTGGTACTAATATTGGTTTTGTTACCAGTAAATTAAAAGCAAACTAAATATTATTGTTATATACATATACACATTCATGGATCTACAATCTGTCGATACCTGTATCTTGGCATTGCACAAGGTCATGTTTTTCTCTGACTGTTTATGACGTCTTTACACTAAATCCATTGGATGTTGGATGTGTACGGATTGATAATTTAGTCTTAGATGCATGATTTTTTTTATTAGTTGTTAGTGGCTTTGAACTAGCTGTCAGTAACTGCGAGTACTCTCAGATCTGTACTTAGTGTCTTTTTGTTGTTCGGATGTACAAGTACCCGGCCACGTCCACTTGTATTTTTAGTATTTGTATTTTTATCCATCTGATGAGTTAAGCCTCTTTCAACTGATTTTTATAGTTCGTTCTTTTGTTGTACTGTTACACTACTGTCCCAGGTTAGGGGGAGGGTTGGGATCCCGCTAACATGTTTAACCCCGCCACATTCTGTATGTATGTGCCTGTCCCAAGTCAGGAGCCTGTAATTCAGTGGTTGTCGTTTGTTTATGTGTTACGTATTTGTTTTTTGTTCATTTTTTGTACATAAATTAGGCCGTTAGTTTTCTTGTTGAATTGTTTTACATTGTCATTTCGGGGCCTTTTATAGCTGACTGTGCGGTATGAGCTTTGCTCATTGTTGAAGGCCGTACGGTGACCTATAGTTGTTAATTTCTGTGTCATTTGGTCTCTTGTGGAGAGTTGTCTCGCTTATGCCATCACTTGGCGTCCGTCGTCTGTCGTCGTCTGTCGTTGTAAACTATTTCAAAAAATCTTCATCTCTGAAACTACTGGGCCAAATACCTTCAAACTTTAAATAAATGTTCCTTAGGGTATCTAGTTTATAAATTTTATCCGAAGTTTTGATCCATCGACAAACATGGCCGCCATGGCTAAAAATAGAACATAGGGGTCAAATGCAGTTTTTGGCTTATATCTCAAAAACTAAAGCTTTTAGAGCAAGTCTGACATGGAGTAAAATTGTTCAATTGGTCAAGATCTATCAACTCTGAAATTTTCAGACGAATCGAACAACCCATTGTTGGGTTGCTGCCACCGAATTGGTAATTTTAACAAAATTTTGCAGTTTTTTGTTATTATTTTGAATATTATTATAGATATATATAAACTGTAAGCAGCAATAATGTTCAGCAAAGTAAGATCTACAAAAAAGTTAATATAACCATCATTGTCAATTGACCCCTTAAGGAGTTATTGCCCTTTAAAGACAATTTTACACAATTTGTTCATCAAGTTTGCTAACATTTAAAAATCTTCTCCTCTGAAACTACTGGGCCAATTACCTTCAAACTTTAACTAAATGTTCCTTACGGTATCTTGTTTATAAATTGTATCCGAAGTTTGTATCCATCGACAAACATGGCCGCCATGGCTAAAAATAGAACATAGGGGTCAAATGCAGTTTTTGGCTTATATCTCAAAAACTAAAGCTTTTAGAGCAAGTCTGACATGGAGTAAAATTGTTCAATTGGTCAAGATCTATCAACTCTGAAATTTTCAGACGAATCGAACAACCCATTGTTGGGTTGCTGCCACCGAATTGGTAGTTTTAACAAAATTTGCAGTTTTTTGTTATTATTTTGAATATTATTATAGATATATATAAACTGTAAGCAGCAATAATGTTCAGCAAAGTAAGATCTACAAAAAAGTTAATATGACTATAATTGTCAATGGATCCCTTAAGGAGTTATTGCCCTTTAAAGACAATTTTACACAATTTGTTCATCAAGTTTGCTAACATTTAAAAATCTTCTCCTCTGAAAAACAGGTGAGCGATTCAGGCTCTTGAGAGCCTCTTGTTTATAAACACAATGTGAATAGATGGAATAAAGAGACAAAATACCTCCATCTATTTTTCTCTATTATTTCTTATTTCAGTTCTTCAAATAAATGTAATGCTTCCTTCTTTAGAGAGATCAGGGTAAATCTACTGTTATATTTGAACAGGTGTATAAAACCAAACAACATGAAACAGAAAGAAAATTTCAATGCCACTCGAGTGAAGGAACAACTGTTGTATAATGGGATAACTGAGGTAGCCAAGATCAGAAAGCAAGGTTATCCTGTCAGGAAGTTGCACGCTGATTTCTACAAACGGTACTTATTGTTATTAAACTAACAGTTTTGAGATAACTTTGTATACATCCTCATTTTAATGGAAACTTTAAAAAAACTCATGTTAAAAAGATTTTCAGTTGTATGATTTTAATGCCCCAGCTTAGATAGTAGAGGAACATTCTGTTTTCCAGTGTGCGGTTCTGTCTGTTAGTCCATTTGTCAGATCCATATCAGGTTAAAGTTTTGGTCTAAGGTGATTTATGTGAATTAATAATATATATGCCAATTATGGGTTTTGACCCAGATTTTCCAATCACTTAACAATGGAAATGTGATAGTGCTAGCAGGGCATAGTGTACTATGAACAATTATTCTTTTTATAATAATATTGATTAATACAAAAAAAGTTGCAGAATACATAAGACATAGGTATTACTATCCGGAGGCTGCAGCAATGGCTTAAACTATTTGTATAAAGCTTTATATGTCAGAAGTAGAAGACCTGGATGCTTCATACCTTGTATGCAGATACCTTATGTTACGAAGTTTCCGGCTGTCATATGTCCATTGTGCTTGACCTCATTTTCATGGTTCAGTGACTGCATTAAACAAATTACAGTTTTTGTTGTCATGTCAAATACTAACTTATTATGCATAGTAGGATAACTACTGTAAATTCAGAAATTATTGCGTGCATTTATTATTGCGATTTTGTCATTTTAGAATAAAATGCGATTTAAATTTTTGCGATATTGAGAAAAATCCTGTTTAATTCATATACAAAATTTCAAAATGCGAGTTTAAATTATTGCGATTATAACCCTGTCGCATTTTTCGCAATTATAAAAACATCGCAATAATTTCTGAATTTACAGTATATATGGTATATGGGTTCCTTGCAAGGTCTCCATGTCTGTCAGACATGGTTCACCTGACCTCAACTTAGATCAATAATTAAGGTTAAGTTTATGTGATCAAGTCTATATCTCAGATACCATAAGCAATAGGTCTGACAACTATATTTGGTGTATGGAATGACCTTGACCTCATTTTCATGGTTCTTTGGTCAATTTTTAAGTTTTTGTGGCTTGGTCTGTTTCTCAGGTACTATAAGCATATACAATAGGAACACTATATTTGGTGAATGGATTAATTGAAGGGTGTACATGTCTGTCTGTCATGTTACATTTGACCTTGACCTCATTTTCATAAATTATCAAAGCTAAGTTTATGTGGTACTTGTAGTAAAACCTTCATATTTAAGACTTTTAGCATAAATTCAATCAGAAGTTAAGCAGGCGAGACATTCAGCGTGTGCACTCTTGTTTTTTGTTGTTATGGTGTCAAAAAATGAAATGCCATAATTGAATTCAAACCAAGGAAGCCATAACAAGGCAAACCAAACATTATTTTATACCACATATCTACCAGGTTCTAAGCCTTTTACTTATATATTTTACATTTCCAGACGGTGCAAGGTTATTTCTTTCATACTGGAACTATTTGAACTATTCATATTTATGATGATTGTACTGTTTATATCCCAAATGATTATGAAGTCAATACAAGTTGACTGCTTAAATGACAAAGTTGAAGTATACATAGCTGATTTTCTTTTTTTTTTTTTAGTTCTGCTCTAAGATGGTATTTTGTATTGTATCGTCATTGCTTTTAACTGGATTTATGATTTTTGTCCTCATATTTTATATGGAAGATATATCTGGGCACATTAACATGAAACATATATTTTTTCATATACAGGTATTGTGCACTTCACCCAGACTTTCCCAGGAAGACAGCAGACGATGGTCAAGGTACAAAGTCTCTGGTTGAAAAGATTTTACCAGATAGATTTAAAACAGAATACAGAATTGGAAAACATAGGGTATGATAATGGACCATTACACAAATAGTATAGATCATCATCCACAGAATTGTATGGGTTATATATGTATAGATTTATGTCTGTAAAAAACTCACATCCTCAATGTTTAAATAAAAATTTCAAGGTATTCTTTTCATAAAAAAAAGAATTAAGAGAAAAAAATCTTGTTAGTTTTTCATGAACATTCAAATATTACTTTTGAATTTTGTGAAAAGAGTGGCAGATTGTTCAGGATAGGAATATTCAATGGTATAGAATGCATCTACTGTGGATTCATTTTTATTCGTGGTATACCAATTTTTGTGGGTTTCGTGGGTCACATCGAACCACGAATTTAAGAATTCAACGAAGAATAATCCCAGAGAAATGTGTATGGAGTCGCATGTTTATTTCCGGTTATGTTATGCAGTTCTAGTATAGTGTTGACTAGCGACATTGTAACATAACACATGTTTTTATTGAAAGAAGATACAAGTATTTTGATTAAATCAATAATAAATATATCGAATATCAGTGATAATTTACTTTTTAAAATTGATTAAAACTGTTCATGGAAAATAACTACAAGTTGTTTATTACCGTGTCATAGTTTGGTTTACTGGTGATTAAAAATCAGTAGGATTAAGTACGGGGATATTGCCCATAGGTAATATTGTTTATGACAGGAACATTTATTTTCACACCTTTTACTTATATGACTGTTTATTATATCGTGATCACGGAAATGAGCTTTCTATCATAGAGTTTTGAATGCCTTATAAAATTCCGACAAGAATTTATAAATTGTAAAACAAACAAATAATTAGTTGTCTCTGTCCATTATTGTAATAGAAGTTTTCAATGAACACTTAAACCTAGAATGACCAAGCGAGGAACTTTTTCAAAGAACACTTTAACCTAGAATGACCAAGCGAGGAACTTTTTCAATGAATTCCTTCTTTTTTGTTTGTTTTATGATTGATCAAACCCAGGAGGTTATATGATCTCCTAAATCAAAAAGAAATCCGCGAAAAATGTATCTGAATTTTTTATTTTTTTTTGTAATCAGCGATCCACGAATTTACGTTTACCACAAAACGTCTTTTTTTCTCTATCCACGAAAATTGATACCCACGAAAATAAATGAATCCACAGTATTCGTTAATTTTTTCTTTTGGTCTTTCTGAAATTGTTTTATTGTCATGTTTGAAAACCTCTTAATGGATTTTTAATACTTTTTGTATGATAGAGCAAACCTTATGTCAATATTATTGCTAAATTTTTTATGTTATGAAACTTACACACAATGCTTATAACCATACATACAGATCAAGTTTGAATTTGGGTGGCGTCACTTTTACCATTCTGGAGTTATGCACCTTTATAAACATAAAAATTGCTGAATTTTTCATTTCCGTTCTCGAACTTTAGTTTACCTCAACCAAATGTTATGAAACTTATACACAATGCTTATTACTACATAATACAGATCAAATTCAAATTTGGATGGAGTCACTTTTACCGTTCTTGAGTTATGTCCCTTTATAAACATACAAATTGCTGAATTTTTCGTTTCCTTTCTCTAACTTTAGTTTGCCTCAACCAAAGGTTATGAAACTTACAATGCTTATTAAAACATAATACAGATCAAGTTCGAAATTGGGTGGTGTCACTGTTACCGTTCTTGAGTTATGCCCCTTTAAAACATAAAATTTGCTGAATTTTCCTTTTTCGTTCTCTAACTTTAGTTTGCCTCAACCAAATGTTATGAAACTTATACACAATGCTTATAACCATATAATACAGGTCAAGTTTGAATTTTTGGTTTATTACCAAAAAATACAGATCAAGTTTGAATTTTGGTGGTGTCACTTTTACTGTTCTAGAGTTATGCCCCTTTACAAATGGAAAAATTGCTGAATTTTTCGTTTCCGTTCTCTAATTTAAGTTTGCCTCAACCAAATGTTATGAAACTTATACACAATACTTATTACCACAAAACTCAGATCAAGTACAAATTTGGGTAGGGTCACTTTTACCATTCTTCAGTTATGCCCCTTTATAATGTTATATGATATGCAAGCGGGGGCATCATCTGTGTCCCATGGACACATTCCCCATTTTTTTTATCTAACTTGTTCTTGTAAAATAGTTTTTCATCATATTTGCAATGCAGACGTATCTCCATGTTAGTTCCATTTCATTGAGTTGAAGTAATATCATGTATGTCTTTCATTTAGTATTGATATGTGTGGATTCAAAGATATTTCTTACTTTGATAAAAGACCACTGCTCTTGTCTCCTTAGTGAAATCACTTGTCAACAATTATATTATAATAATACTAGAGGAAAATATTTTGAGACATAATTATATAAAAAATATAAAACAATTAAAACTACCTTTGGTTTATAAAATAAATATTGTCAATTCTTAAATGAATCATCATTCTGCTGATATGATAGTAAGACTTTTTATTATATGGATAATTGAATGCTGTGTAAATGTTAATCGGTAAAATTTTATAAGATATGCATTTTATTTAGGGAAATAAAAAAACATGAATGTTTAATGTGAATACTGTATTTCAGATATTTATGAAAGAGTCACCCTATATGTTTTTAGAGAAATTCCTCTACATCAGAGAACAATCAGCCAGGAGATCTATGGCAACATGTATCTTTAAAATGTGGTCCGAAAAGAAAGCTGCTGAAGAATTAAAGGCAGTACAACGTAGAAAAAAAGTAGCACAACTACAAAGTGATATGGAAAAAGAAGCTGCAGAAAAGGAAATACAAGAAAGACGACAAGCTGAAACAAAAGTTTGTTCAGTAATTGTATATATATATAAAGACAAGCATTCAATTGGCTAGTTCATGAGATAATGTGCATGAGATTGAAATTAAAACAAACAATTATTTGAATATGGAATAATTTTGAATTCAGAAAAATTACTAAGAAATTCAAAATGTAAACTAACCCAACTAAATAGTGTTAGCCTTGCACCCAGTGCTATGGTTCATTTTACTTTCACTGATATTACTAACTCCACTTATCCACTTAACCCTCCTTAATTAGGTCAGTTTTCATCATACATTTTTATCAATTTTTTAGAATTTAAAATTATTCCAGATTCAAATAATTCTTTGTATTAGGATTAATTGACTTTTTTACGACAACACCACCTATTACTGATTAAGTGGAAAATTCCATAAAATAAAATACCAAAGAAATATAATAATTTGGAAACAATCTATTGTTACCATTTTAATATATGAATTTCTGGTTCATATTTTTCTATTATTATTGAAAAGATTATTTGTTTACATGTGTGTATACTATAAATTAATAATACTTAAAAAGAGTACAACAGGAATTATAAAAAATATTAAATCTATTGGTTTATTTGAATACTCATTATTTCAGAGGGACATTTCTGCTTCAATTGGTTCAACAACAAGTACTAGACTTGGAGCATCCATAGGATCAACAATAAGTTCTACACAAGGATCTTCTAGCTCAGATACTTCATCTTCTGGACGTGTTCAATTTGCTAGTTTGTCTCGTACGAGAAAACCTGACGGAGGAACAAAGTCTATTCCAAGTCCATCAGATTATAGTGAATCACATGGGACTGAACTTGGGATCAATGAACAAACTGGTATCAAACAACCTTGGAGTGGAGCAGGACCATCACCCAAAGGAAAGGCCCCCCCTCCACCCAAAAGGAGTCCACCCCCTAGAAAGAAACATCCCCCAGAAACAGAAAAGAAGAAAGAGTCAAAAGCGTAAGTTATCATTTACATCTATTTCATCATTTAATTGTAATTCAGTGGGAGAAGTATTAGAGATGACATATGCAAAAGTTTTGAGTGAGGTAAAATTATCCCCTATTTGTTGCTACTGACCTAACAAGTCCTGTTCAACATACATAAATATATAATTCAGTAATTACATAAAATTATTTTAGAGAAAATTTGATCAATAACAAAAACCTAATTGCAATAGTTTTATAATTGAAAATCTCAATCTGATTGTATTTATGAACATATCCATAGGTTTATTATGCCCCCGCTGTAGCAGAGGGGGCATTAAGGTAAACCCTTGTCTGTACTTCCCGAAATTGGTTCCATTCTCTAACTTTAGTTTGCCTCAACCAAATGTTATGAAACTTATACACAAGATCGGATTTTGGTGGCGTCACTTTTAGCGTTCTTGAGTTATGCCCCTTTATAATGTTATATGCAAGCTGTGGAAACATCTGTGTCGTATGGACACATTCTCCATTTATTTCTATTATATTTTTTCCTTTAATAGATTTTGGGATATATTTGCTAACATTCCCAGAGAGAAGAAGTCAAAAGATGTCCATGAGCGAGGGAGCTTACGTTTCATCAAAGTGATCACATATGGTTTACTATTCCTTGTGATGTTTGCATCCCTGGTCTTTCAGAAAATTAGTCTTATGTTACTTGCTAAACGCCAGGAAAAGGAATTAATTGTAAATAAAGGAGACTCTGCAGCTACTCCCCAGGAAAGAAAGGATAAGTTTGTAAGTTGTTTCTTTAAGTCAAAGTCCAATATTTAAGCCATTGATTCTTTGTTAACTTCTAGTAAAACTTTCTGACTATACTTCTAGGTTAATTAATATATTAAATTTATGACCTACATATAATGGTAATTTATTGTGTGTTTGTCATACTATTCAAACGCACCTATTAGGATAATTGAAATATCCTATATTGCTTTAAACTATCAACCTGTCTTTTGCAATGAGTGAAAAATTTTCATCTCTTGTTCAGTTGGAAGAAATTTATTCAAACAGTGACTTGAAAAGAATTTTGGCCTAATTTGTTTCATGAAAGAACAAAACCTCTTGGATTATGCACAGAGAGCAAATTTTACATCGTTTCATAATTTAAATATTTCACAAGTATTAAAGTAATATTATGCTGGTATAAACACTCTGGCTACCAAGTTAATGATACCCTTGGGGCTTTGCTGTCCACCAAAAGTTGCAAAGTTGTAGAAATGCAAAATTATAAAATATCAAAAGGAGTATAGGACCATGATCATTCACCATAAAGGTTTTATGAAGAAAGATAGAAGATGGATCAGTTTAATATGTACAGTAATACTTCTTTGCAGAAAGAAAAAGAAGAGGTATATAACAGTGCCAGATATTTGTTGCTGCTGTTAGCTGTGTGTATACCCTATGTACTGACATTTGTATTCAGTGTCTTGAAGACGTTGTTTGGAAATCTTGCTGTTCCAAGCAAGAGCACTATCATTATGGTAAGCTGTCAATACTCAAGGACATCTGTCTCATAAATTATGCCTAACTTTTTCTTAATGTAGTCCTAATAATATTTATAAAAAAATATTTGACTAACTCAGTTTTAGAGAATTTTATTGTACAGTCGAACCTCGTTATGTCAAAGTCGAAGGGATCGGACAAAAATATTCTACTTATCAGAGGTTCGACTCATCCGAGGTTGAATTTATCTTCATAGATTTGGAATGAATGAAATATGGCATGTGATTTGTGTAAGCTAGATATTTTGAACAGTGGCCATTTTTTGATATAGCACTTTATGAGTGTGTATTCAATCTCCATATTGTTTGGTCCCTGAATAAATTTAAACACACAAGGACAGACACAAAACATTCACAAGTAGAATCAAAATACAAATATTTACAAAGTACAGTCATTTTGATTATGAAATCACTCGCGGAACGAAACAAGTTCAAACAGATTTCTGATGATCGAGGGTCGTCTGCTTTGCATTCAATTATTATAAATAGATCATAATTGTAGTCATCTTGCTACTTATTGTAATTAATGAATTTTTACTCTAACGATTCATTTAAACTGGGTTTGGGTCATTTAAAGTTGTTTTATTTTTATGTCAGGTAAAATCTGTTCAACACAATAGAGTTACACGTGGACGATCAACAAAGGTGTTAATAACAGTCACCATAAACATGACATTGTAACTGTTATACAAACCAGTATGTTTACACAGCTTTAATCTCTTTTGAAAATGATTAGGTTGCATAAGAAATACATCCGATTTGAATTGTTATCATTAAGTCTGCATCTTAAGAAATTTCTTACTTTCGATCTTCGAGACATCAGATCAATTTTCATGAATTTTGCATCGATGGGACCATACAACTTACTTGACTTAAACTAGTATTCGAATCAACCGAGTTCGACTCATCAGAGGTAAATATGCATTGATCCAATGGGAATTTTATCGTGACCGAGAAATAACTTCGACTCGTCTGATTTTTTTACACAACCGAGTTTGACACAACGAAGTTCGACTGTATATGGCTATTCTCTCAAAAATTATAAAACATAGACTGAATCTGTAAACAGCAAATATGATAAGTAACACAAGAACTAAAATCATCCAATATGACCTAAACATCAATTAACTCTGTATTAGAGTAAGTATACCCCTACTTAAGGAGTGGGGGCTATATTGTAACCTCTTGTCTATCTGTAAGTCAAACTAATGTTTCTGTTACACTACAGAACAAAATGACTACATATTTGGTCAGCAGCTTGCCAGTGATCTATTGTAACATGAAAGCACTTTTCAGATCAGTTAGACACTCACTTCCTGTTTTTTGATGCTTTGAAATTTTTAATATGTTGAAAAAATCAAATATTTTCAGGAGCTAATGAAGCAGCTGGACAGTTATAAGTTTAAATGAGTGTGCGCAAGGACACCTACTGTTTGCCAATGCTGTGAATAACAAGTTGTGGTATGCCTACTCAGGCTACTGGTCAACATATGCAACTTCTTTTTTGCCCGCAAATGATAGTTATTGACAAATTTCAGAGTTTTTATCAGTTATCTAGAAAAATTATAGTAGTTAGATGGAAATTACAAACAGAAAAAAATATTAGCAATACAAAATCTACAAATATACCAAAATGTTAAAATGTGCATATAGCATGACATGAAAAAATGATTCATTTGTATATACTGATATCTTTGAGATTTTGAAATAGTTTTTTAAGTCATGTCTAAAGTTGATATTTTAGGTTACGTTCATGGAATGTGCTCACTCTGTAGGACTGAGTTATCTGGTCTTCAAATATTTAGGAGAAATGCATTCAGCTCGTGGGATCATGGTTATGAGTGCAACTTGCATTTTGCCTAGCATTCTAAAACCTTTTTTTGCCAAAGATGATTCAACCCCTAGAGCAAGTTTCAGAATTTTCAAGAGAATCCTAGGATTTGCCGCCGATTTAATGGCAATTATTGCACAGATATCTGTTATACCTGTCGTCATCAACAATGGCTTTCTTTTAGAAAGAGCGGAACCATCTAAAGAATGGGAGACAGTACTTGAAGTTGTATTTTGTTTGCTTCTTTGTTCATTTTCATGGTGGGAAAATTTTATGGATGATCGAGCATTTGGTTCCAGTCGTAGTTTCCTACAGCAATTTGTACTTAAGATAAAATTTGATTTACAAGAAAGTCGACCAATTGTTACAACTGTTACATCATTATTTAAAATAGGGATTACCATAGCAATGGCATATGTTTTACGTGATGGAATAAATATGGATGTATCCGCTGCCATGTCCACCCTCACTGATGACAGATATGAGAATGTTTTACCAGAAAAATGGTATGAGCATTACAACTACATTAAAGATTACACATCTATAATATGTATAACAATTGGATCATATCTGGCTTACTACGTTTCTTACACAATATGTAAACTCCGGATGCAAGTAGTGTCATTTTCAATGGCAGCCTTATTGTCCACTCCAGTTGCTGTAGGAATCGTAGTTCTCGACTGTGAATATCAAATCTTAGAACCCTTCACAAAGGAACAGTTATATTGTTATCATGCTCAAGCTACAGATTCATATGATGATTCACACTGGTACCATTTCTTACTGGGGTTACTTTGGTTGATTTCAGCCTACTGGATAGCAAAATATATCTGGTTCTCTAAGCAAGAAAGATTGGCAAAGATTGATAGGTATGCTTATTTTTCTATTGTTAAGGCAGAATCTTTTATGGATTATGTATTGTTTATGTAACAGACAAAAATATTCAGTGATAAATTGTCACCATTGGATAACTGTGTAAATGTTTCTGACAATATTTTCCTTGAATTAAGGTTAATGTATTTTTAAAAATGTTTGTACTCCCTAACACTTGAATATTGTTAGATTTGATCTTTACTTTGGTGAAAAATAAATCATATCAGCATTAATAATTGGAAGAAGACATTCAGTTTAAATGATTTGTATAATAAAAAATATGATAGCAACAGATTATAAGTAGATTTTCTAGATATTTGAATTCAAACTGCTTGAATTTCACTTTTCAAAGGTTGGAAAAACAGGTTTTTAATTCTTCTTTCTTTTCCAATAACATACTTCTGTATTACTATTTACTATTTTACAGATTGTTTATAAATCCACTGTACTGCAGTGTTTTATTAGAACAACATTTACTTATGAACAGAAGACGACACAACAAAAGGATTAGAAGAGAGTTTGAAGGGGAAAAGGAATCTTACAGGTGAATACATTAATTTTATGTAAAATTGTGGAAATGTTCTATTGAGTTCAATTTTGACTTTCATCAATAAAATTGAATAAGTACTATTTTTTCAATTAATGGGGAGGGGGGGGGGGGGATATAATGGCTCTTATCATGAAATTTATTGAGAATTCATCATTTGTAAATTTTTATTTCTGTCAACCTTATAAGCTGTTGTATTTATTATCAGGTTAAGCAATGATGATTCAAAGCATGCAGCAGGCACTGATAGGTCAAAAATGAAGAAGATACCTCCAATGATATATGCTTGTGCCACAATGTGGCATGAAAACAGATTAGAAATGGTGCAAATATTGAAATCTTTGTATAGGTATGTCATTATGAAATCTATGGTGCTACCATGGGTTTATAAGATAATATCATATATTGTATATTTATAGCAAGCCGTTTTACTATTTATTCTAACTTCAAGATATCTAATAAACTTCATAAGATATCTCATGCAGTGTATAAGATATCTTATATAATTTATAAGATATCTCATATAATTTATAAGATATCTCATATAATTTTCTTTATAAGATATCGTATAAATTATATAAGATATCTTATAAACTATATAAGATATCTTATGAACTTTATGAGATATCTTATGAACTTTATGAGATATCTTATAAACTTTATGAGATATCTTATAAACTTTATGAGATATCTTATAAACCTTATAAGATATCTTATAAACTATATAAGATATCTTGTATAAAAAAATATTTATTAGATATCTTATAAATTTTAGAAGATATCTTATGAAGTATATAAGATATCTTATAAAGTATCTTATATATTATATGAGATATCTTGAAGTTAGAATAAAAAGTAAAACTGCTTGCCATATATATTGGTTTTTTTTTAGTTAAATCTTCACTTTGTTTGCGGTACCTACAAAAATGTGAAAAGTTTACCCCATTTAAATTTCCCTGCCTAATCCTAGATTTATAGATGTTTAAATGTTTCATATATAAAACTGTTAATTATCAAGTTTACATGAAATTGATATGTAAACTCATTTAACCCTAAAGGTGAAATAACATTATATATAAAATCAGTCTTTTGTGTTGATCGGCAGATTACAAGAGTATGCAAAATTAACTTAGATCTTTTTTTTCATAATAATTGAATTGGCTAATCGTACATGTCATACATATTGACAACACAGCAATCAGTGACATGTTCATTAATGTTAATGCTAACATCTATTGATTGTTGTTATAACCCAAACATTTGGAATATAATGTAAAAATTAGATTAAAATAAATCACATTTAACTGATATATTCTTTCAAAATGCTCTGTTATACCAGCACAAAAATTATAAAATCCTTCATTTTTAGAAATGGTGCAATGAACCTAATTTAAACAACTAGTGAAAGATCTCTGAATAATGTGTATTTTAGTTTGCAGTACACCTATTAATTTGTAATTGATTATCTGTCAGTCAATCAATTTTAATAAGTTGTTTACATCTTTAACAATACAATACAGTAATTTTTTCAGGTGTATTTTCCCATTCAGCGAACATTTCTCCTGTATTAAAGATTTTATAAAGTCTCAGAACTATTTTCCTAATACTTGTAGTTTAAAGGTCTGGTTGGCTTGTTTGCTTTATTTGTATAAATGTTTGCAAGCATTGTAATTAAGAATGCATCTGCAATCAATAGATAGGCAGGGCTTCAGCTTGTATACATTATATATACTTAAATGTGATTGGATGTTAAGTATAATGCAGAGTATAATGTATACAAGCTGAAGCCCGGCTTATCTATTGATTTATACAAACAAAGCAAGCAAGCCAACCAGACCTTTAAACTACGAGCAATAGAAAATAGCTCTTTAAATGATTTCTTTAATCTAATTAAATGCACATTGAAATAGTGTGTCTATAGTTTGTGATTAGGTCTAGTTTATGGTGAACCACTAGTGGTAGGTCAATGATATTTGGTATGCAGTTGTAATAGCATTGGCACAATTCATTTCCATGGATATTATTTGGCCCTGCCCCCTCAGTCATGGTCTGTTGACTTTGAAACTTTTGCTTAGTTTACATGTATAAGTTTGTGATTAGGTCAATTTATGGGGAACAACTAGTGGTAGGCCAATGATATTTGCTATGCCGTTGTATTAGCATTGGCACAACTCATTTCCATGGATATTATTTGGCCCTGCTCCTCAGTCATGGTCTATTGACTTTGAAACTTTTGCTTAGTTTACATGTATTAGTTTGTGATTAGGTCAGTTTAGGTGGAAACAATTGGGATAGGTCAATGATATTTGGTATGCAGTTGTATAAGCATTGGCATATATCATTTCCATGGAGATTATTTGGCCCCGCCCCCTCAGTCATGGTCTATTGACTTTTAAAACTTTTGCTTAGTTTACATGTATTAGTTTGTGATTAGGTCAGTTCAAGGGGAACCATTAGTGGAAGGCCAATGTTAATTGGTATGCAGTTGTATAAGCATTAGCACGTCTCATTTTCATGGAGAATATTTGGCCCTGCCCCCTCAGTCATGGTCTATTGACTTTGAAACTTTTGCTTAGTTTACATTTCCATTGAGAATATATAGCCCCGCTCATCATGGTTCATTGACTTTGAAACTTTTACATAGTGTACAAGTTAATGTTTGTGTTTAGGTTTGTTTAAAGGGAACCACTTATGATAAATCAATGGTATTTGGTATGCAGTTGTATTAGCATTGGCACATCTCATTTCCATAGATTGGTTAGCCATGTACCTTTTGTCATTGTTCATTGACTTTGAATATTTGCATAATTTACATTTTAAAGTATTGCTATTTTAATTTCAACATTTGCATTACTGTCGATTCATTATTAGATGAATACCAATTTTCGTGGGTATAGGTGAACCACGAATTCAAATGCTCAAAGAATTACAAATTGTCTATAGGCTTTGTATGCAGACATTTCCAAAACCACGAAATCAAATATCCAAGAAAATTCAAGTTTTCCTTTATCCACCAAAATTGATACCCACAACAATAAATGAATCCACAGTAACAAAATTACGAAAATTTTCTATTGTGATGTCACAAAAAAGGAGAACATGCCTGATGACGTCACATATAAAAAATCCCTATCTTTTTGCAGGTCAGTGAAAAAAGTTTGTTTACATACATGACATATTGTCTCTAAATCTTTAGAGAAATAGATTCCACAACATAATCTCAAGGAATATGATATTTCTTGACTCACGTTTTAAATTTAACTGTCTGGAGTGAAGAAATTTTACTCTTGATGCAGTGGTAGAATAGTTCTTAAACAACCTTTGTGATTAAATTGGCTTTTCAGAAAATCTGATTGTAAATTTATTTTCAGCAATTCATTAAAGCCATCTTCTGCAACAAAACAAAACAACAGAACATTTTAGATATAATTACTGGAACTAAGTTGAGATTATTAAAGCTGTTAATTTTCTCCTTGACAATTTTTTTTATACCTTTTGGCAATAAATATAATGTAAGGAGATGTGGTATGATTGTCAATGAGACAACTATCCACCAAAGTTCAAATGAAAATGATGTAAAGTTTATCAACAGGTTGTAAATATTATTGCTATGGGCACCAATTGTGTCCCTCTAATAGCAGATTTGTTCTTGTTTTGTCTATTTCATGTGATAGAAAAATGAATAACACTTAACATTACTATGATGATGTTTTTGATTTAGAATGTTAGAAATTCTTTAATTATACTTCAGAAATTTACCCAGGGATCTGACTGTAAATAAATCTAGTATGTAACACAATAAATGTCCTTTTCTTGATTTGGATGTTTCAGTTTTAACATTAGAAACTCTATACTAAAACTTACGACAAACAGATTATCTGCCATTCCCTATTTTTAATTTTTTCTTTATGGACAGAGATGTTTCTTTGTGCCCTTAGGGTTTGTATGATGTATAACTTGTTTATTACACGATATTTTAGATTTCAATGAACGTAATATGTGTGTGAACAAGATTTTTGTAGAATTTTGTGTTACAATGTATTACAATTAACATTATTTTAAGGGTGTACAAGCCATGAAAAGGAAATAGTTTTAACAAAATTTGATTGCATAAGTATCATGCATAGATTTAAGATTGATTCTGCAAATTGAAGAAAATTTAAGTGCTTTCTTCCTAAATGGCATCAGATCCTCTTTATATGGTTCACTCTCAATAAATGTAAATGCAAATATGCTCAAAATTGTACTTAATTTATTTATCAACATTATGTCTATATTTCGTGGGAATTATTTAATCAGAGTACAAGAATGTATATGAGGACAATAAAAGTATAGAAAATAAATAATGAAAATAATTCAACTACAATGTACCAGTAAAATAACAATTAATTAGATTATAGGTATGAAGAACAGATAAATTATTAATTGTTTATATGTAATGTATCCTATGTTATATTGTATGTTCAGAGTTGATATGGACCAGTTTATAAGAAAACAGGCTGTTGATTTGTTCAGAGAACAGAACCCAGATGAAGAACCAGATCCAGAAGACTTTGAATATTATGAATTTCAAGGTTTGATTTTTAAGCATCTTATAATAAAACATGGCTTTGAATTTCAAAATACATTTTTAATACTTCACAAAAGTTCAAAGTATGATCTTACTTTTCATATTTTACTGTAAAAAGTATGAAAGAATTTGTGTTTTTAACTTAACACAGGAACACTAGGGATTGTTGCCAAACATGAAACAATAACTCAAAGAAAAAAAAGACATATACATGAATATTACATGTGACCATAGACAAAATAAGACGATAAAGTATGATTGCTAATGAGACAACTCTCCACCAGAGACCAAATGACGTAGAAGGTTAGCAACTATAGGTCACTGTACAGCCTTCAACAACCCATTCAGCATACTCAAAGCAAGCTATAAAAAGCCCCAAAATTAACAAATTTAAAACATTTCAAATGAGAAAACTAATGGCCTGATTAATGTACAAAACAGTAAATGAAAAACAAATATGATATACAGCAATAAACGACAACCACCGAATAACAGACTCCTGACTTGGGACAGGCACATACAGTGGTGTAACAGCACACCATAAGAACAAACTATAAAAATCAGTCTACTTGAAATTGTTTTCACTTTTCTTGCTTTCCTCTAAATTTTCTGATTTATTTATTGTTATAAAAATAAGGAGATGAGGTATGATTGACAATGAGACAACTATCCACTAAAGTTCAAATAAAGTGGATGTAAGCAATTTTGTAAGCTTAAAATAATTGAGTGGCGATTGTAATATTTCTTATATTCTTAAGGATGTACTTAGGTAAGGTCCAGGAATTTTTATAAGACCGCAAAAAAATTTTTGTGGTCGTATATTGGTATGACGTTGGCGTTGTCATCGTCGTCGTCCGGCGTCGTCGTCCGAAGACACATTAGTTTTCGCACTCTAACTTTAGTTTAAGTGAATGGATCTCAATGAAATTTTACCATAAGGTTCAATACCACAAAAGGAAAGTGGGGATTGATTTTGGGGGTTATGGTACTAACAGTTAAGGAATTAGGGGCCAAAAAGGGGCCAAAAATAAGCATTTTTGTAACTTCCAGACATAATTTGTGTGTAAGTATATGGATCTCTCTGACATTGTACCACAAGGTTTCATATCACAAAGGGAATGCTGGGACTGATTTTGGGGGTAATTGCCTCCAAATTTTAGGAATCAGGGGCCAAAAAGGGGCAAAAAACAAGCATTTTTCTAGTTTCATGACAATAACTTGTGTGTAAGTGTATGGATCTCTCTGACATTGTATCACAAGGTTCCATATCACAAAGGGAATACTGGGATTGATTTTTGGGGGTAATTTCCTCCAAATTTTGGGAATTAGGGGCCAAAAAGGGGCAAAAAATAAGCATTTTTCTAGTTTCATGACAATAACTTGTTTGTAAGTGTATGGATCTTTATGAAATTGTACTACAAGGTTCCATATCACAAAGGGAAAGCTGGAATTGAGTTTGGGGGTAATTTCCCAAAAAGTTTAGGATAAGGGGCCAAAAAGGGGCAAAAAATAAGCATTTTTCTAGTTTCCAGACAATAACTTGTGTTCAAGTGTATGGATCTCTCTGAAATTGTACTGCAAGATACCATACCACAAAGGGAAGGCTGGGATTAATTTTGGGTGTAATTCCCTCAAAATTTTAGTAATTAGGGGCTATAAAAGGGCAAAAAAACAAGCATTTTTCTAGTTTCAGGACAATAACTTGTGTGTAAGTGTATGGATCTTTATGAAATTGTACTGCAAGGTTCCATATCACAATGGGAAAGCTGGGTTAGAGTTTGGGGATAATTGCCCTAACGTTTAGGAATTAGGGGCCAAAAAGGGACCAAAAAACAAGCATTTTTCTAGTTTCCAGACAATAACTTGTGTTCAAGTGAATGGATCTCTCTAAAATTGTACTGCAAGGTACCATACCACAAAGGGAAAGCTGGGATTGAGTGTGGGGGTGATGAATCATAAGGGGGTTCAAAAAATTTGGGGGGGGGGGATTTTTTTTTCCTTTTTTTTCTTTAAAATTTTCCATTTTAAATTGGTTATTTCTGATTTATATATAAAAGCAAATAATAATGATATGGTTTGAATAGCATACATGTGAACCTCCCGACAGGAGTACAATAATCCCGTTTTCAGGAGTCTCCTCCCGACCTCCCGTTGACACTGTACGTGTCTAAACTACCCCGGCAAAAAATGTTTGGACTCCATGGTATCTAATATCCGGCACGGTGACGGAACATTAATAGACAGATAAAAGGTAGGTTTCTGATTATTTATTTGTTATTTTTATGATATCGAAGAATATATATACATATTTAACTATTTTCTATTGTGAGATGTAATATTTTCTACAACCGTTCTAGATTAACGGAGAAATAAGTAAAAATGCACGTCAAAATGACGAATTGAATGAACCTTGCCTCAAATTTTTTTAATATCTCGTTAAATTGTTCACATTATACGGAAAGAAAGGTACGGAAAGAAAGATATTGACATGGAAATTGCAAAACTAGCCACTTTGAGCACCTCAATACTTGTATGTCTGTGTATGGAACGAAAGAAATGCGTCATGTCAAAATGGAAGGAGCCGGTTTTGTCAATGTTGTTTACTACACAATCACCCGGTTTTGTCTATATATATGACCCGGTTTTGTTTTGTTTTGAAACCACAAATTTATGAAAAGCAACGTTAACACGGATCTAAACATTGTCCATCGAAAGAAATTCAACATATATGTTATTGTAAAACAACTTCACTTGCGTTTTTTCAACAAAAATAAATACTACATATTATTTATACAAGAGTGTAAGCACTGACATGTAGCGACTGCTTGAAGGGAAAATAGTACTATTACATTTTTCCCAGCATTAGGTTGGCCTTTTGTGTACATAAGGCAGGTGAAGGATGTCAACGTAGGAGCGCTGTGATTGGATGTAAGGGTACAATATATTTTTTTATTTATCTATGAATAACTGCAGTGTGTATATTTACAATATAAATTTTGAAACCCATTGAAATATTTTCTAGAGAATTATTCGAAAAGACTTCCAAAATTTCATAAATTTGGTGTAAAATGACGGTGGGCATGGATAACATAAACAACTTCCGTTGAAAGTTGGTCATGATACTATTTGGCTTCAATTTTTAAAACAGAATGATAAAGTACTAACACCACACATAACTGTTTTGTGTAGGTTTTTATTATAAAAAGTGGTAAATTTAGTATTGTCGCCTACGGCAGAATAAATAGTACCGTTTTCCCTGAATGATCGTAATTGAATCTATTTTGAAGATCTGTAAGATGATTAATTTGATTAAAGTATCACATAAACTTAACAGTGTTCATGGAACCATAAAAAAGTCAGGGTCTAATGAAACCTGCCAGACGAACATGAACACATTACAATCATTAAAACCAACCAAAAAAATAAAAAATAAAAACTTAACATTTACCAATTAATCAAGAAAATAAGTTCAAGGTCACAGAAATAGTCATGTGGCCATATGACCTATTACTTATGGTATTAGAGATACGGACTTGTGTTTCATATTTGTTTTTCATAAATTTGTTTGTACATTAATTAGGCTGTTAGTTTTCTCGTTTGAATTGTTTTACATTTGTGATTTCGGGGCCTTCTATAGCTGACTCTGCGGTATGGGCTTTGCTCATTGTCGAAGTCCGATCGGCGACCTGTAGCTGTTAATTTCTGTGTCATTTTGTCTGTTGTGGAGAGTTGTCTCATTGGCAATCATACCGCACTTTTTTATATTGAACACGAAATATTAACCTTGATCATGGATATCAACCATTATCAGTGTGACATTCACAGCTATTCATTTTGTTAGGAAATCGATGAACTATGAAAATGAGGTCAAGGGCAATGGACATATGACAGATAGAAACATCGTAAGATAAAAGATCTGTGTGCGAGGTATGTTGCAGTCAGGCCTTCTAACTTCTGACATATGAAGCTTCATACAAATAGTTCAAGCCGCCACGAATTTGCATCCCTTGGTCTCGCATTTCGATGATTTTAAAATACCAATGTGAATTTTTAGAATAAACATGACAATCCTACTCACATACATCCAATTTCGCAGGTATCCCTGTTTTCTTATTTCTTATAAAATTCTTAGTTGGTACACATGTTTACGATTTAGTTATATAACATTAGTGACGAATCCAGGCGGCGTATAGGTCCGACGCCCCCATCTCACCTTTGATGGCACCAACAAAAAATTAAATGATGTTTTTTACGATTTATTTTAGCTTAAAATCGTCCAAAAAATTGTTCTCCTCGCTACGCTCGGCGGTATGTAAGTTGTTTGAATTACGCCCACTTTGAAAAAAATCTAAATCCGTCCCTATATATTGTCAATGATATATTATCCAATGTCAATGTACGATAATCATAACACAATGGAGAGATACCAGAACCGTTTATTGATAGAACTATTAATAAAATAAACATTATTGCATTTTCTTGATGGCCTGAGACTATTATACAAATTTATACTTAATATTATCCTTTTCTCCCAATAAACATTCATTTTCTATGGCAATTATGCATGCATATACATTTGTCTTCTTATCATGTCTTATAATAAACACTTAGCCTTAAGAAGATTTATTTTAAACGATCATAGGAAAGATAACACCCCTTGGTAGATTGGATTACTTATAAAGATAACCATCCTGTTGTGCAGGAAAATCACATATCAAATGTGCGTGTTTCAATTTTTAAAACCGTAAACTCTAATTTCAAGTTTTATCACTTACATAGAACGTAAACCTCAATTTGCGTTATAACCTTCATTTCTATCTATTTCGCAGTTAAAGTATTTTTTTAACTGCAAAGCAAAATTATAATTATTTTTGTTCCAATAAAGTAGGAATTCAAGTGTTTACAGATTCAAATAAATCGTTTTCCAACGAGCCACCAGACTCCTTTTAAATGCCGAAGTTCAATTATGTTATGCGATAATGCATTTTTTTCTTTGACAAAACCGGGTTCTGCCTTGTGAAATCTAGGACAAAACCGGCTCCTTCCATTTTGACATGACCCATTTCTTTCGTTACATGCACAGAAATACAAGTATTGAGGTGCTCAAAGTGGCTAGTTCTGCAATCTCCATGTCAATATCTAATTTTAGTACCTTTCTAGCCGTATAATGTGAACAATTTAACGAGATATTAAACAAATTCGAGGCAAGGTTCACTCAATTCGTCATTTTGGCGTGCATTTTTACTTATTTCTCCGTTAATCTAGAACGGTTGAAGAAAATATTACATCTCACAATAGAAAATAGTTATATATGTAAATATATATTCTTCGATATCATAAAAAAAAACAAATAAATAATCATAAACCTACCTTTTCTCTGTCTATTAATGTTCCGTCACCGTGCCGGATATTAGATACCATCGAGTCCAAACATTTTTTGCCGGGGTAGTTTAGACACAGTGGTTGAAGAGGAAATAATCCCGTGTATGAATCAAGTATGAAAAATTTCTGCCCAACATATCATCTCAGGCATCTGGTGTAACTCACATTACCTGAAGTTATATTTTACCTGTAAATCAATTAACATGCATAATTATATGGCTTCACTTGTCAGCTTAGGTGTCAAACATACTGGTAATCAACAATTTTTTACCTCAGGCTAACTGCCGTTGTGTAACAAAAACTGGAGCGTTTTATTGGTCTCTTCTGCACATCTCCAGAATGTCTTCTGGTGAGGAGTCCAAAAAGATGAATCTGGACCTCTTCTGGAGATATTCTACGGAAGATCAATAAAACAAAAATTCAATTTGCCGTCGAATATAGCAGATTTTTGTTATGTTGGATGACATATTAAATGAAGTTTACGATGATTTTATAGAAAATTAAGATACGTCCGGTAGACATGACTGTAAAAGTGTGCTCTGTTCGTGACATTTTTCTTTGTTCTTTCCTCTAACTCAATTTTGCTAGACAAATCAGGCGTAAACCCCCACTATTTGATTTTTAAGAATAATCTTAAACTGCACAAAAATTCGCCAATGTTTGTCTCGAATATGATCAAAAAGGACATCTTGTCTATCCATTTTTTTTTAAAGTAACCAAACTGGATTATTTTTGTATAAAGCAAAGATGTCGGAAAGTTCTCAAAATCATTTTTCTCTGGTGGTTCTTGAAGAAAATCTTCTGGTCCTAACTATTATTTCTATTGCATAATTTCGATGGTTAAAACCTTCGGACCACCACTTTTCAAATATTGTCATTGTATATGGATCTATATGCAAGTATACAATGTATACCAGACATTTCTCAGACTGTTTTTTCTTCTTTTTTTTAATAAATCCGTTGGTGCAGTACTGATTGATACTTCAGTCTGGGAGAACAAGATTTATTTCAGTACTATAGTGGTAATTAGCTTTGAACAAACTTCCAGTAAATGCAAATACTCTTATTTCGGTGTTTTGTGTCTATTGTCTTAATGTAAGTTTTTTTTGTGTGTCTCGTACTGATCTTTGAGTTAGTCTACCGGTAATTGCAATTGATTTGTGCAGGTTGTTCTTATATTGTACTGTTACACCACTGTCCCAGCTTCGGGGAGGGTTGAGCGCTCACAAACATGTTATTGTACTGTTACACCACTGTCCCAGGTTAGGGGGCTAACATGTTTAACCCCGCCACACTCTGTATTTATGTGTCTGTCCCAAGTCAAGAGCCTGTAATTCAGTGGTTGTCGTTTGTTGCTGTGTTACATATTTGTTTTTCGTTCATTTTTTTGTACATTAATTAGACCGTTAGTTTTCTCGTTTGAATTGTTTTACATTTGTGATTTCGGAGCCTTTTATAGCTGACTATGCGGTATGGGCTTTGCTTATTGATGAAGGCCGTACTGTGACCTATAGCTGTAAATTGCAGTGTCATTTGGTCTCTTGTGGAGGGTTGTCTCATTGGCAATCTTCGTTTTTATATCAACCCTGCCATATTCTTTGTGTGCCTGTCCCAAGTCAGGAGCCTGTAGTTTAGTTGTTGTCGTTGGTTCATGTCTCGACTCATATTTGATATTTTGTAAATTATTTTGTTATGTATAATTAGGCCGTAAGTTTTTTCGTTTGAATTGTTTCTCACACTTTTCACGTCGGGCCTTTTGACAGTATCGGGTTTTGTCATTGTTGAAGGCCTTAATTACGGTTGCCTATAATTGCTTACATCCACTTCATATTTGAACTCCGGTCGATAGTTGCCTCATTAGCAATCATACATTTCTACGTTTTTATTTATTTACCTGACTTTTAAACTCTTGTTTCCTGAACTGAGTCCTGAACATGCATGACATATTTGTCACTGGGCGTTAAAAATTAGCAACAAACAATCAATCAATTTAAACTTGTGTTAAATAAGAAGAAAAACCATTTGATATTCATTCATTTATTGGGGTGGGGGGCAGGAGGATTTCATATATGAATATGGTTGGCTGGGAAGAGCTGAAAAATAGGCATAATTAGCGACAGATTAAAAAAGTTAATAATTAATGCCCTCTTCCCTTTCCCATCCTTCATCTATAAATTTAAACTGACCAGCACGGAATAGCCCAACTTGGTGTTGAAAGTAGCGTTAAACACCAATCAATCAAAATCCCTTCCCTAGAATATCAAATAGTTGTCCCTTAACTGTTATTGTCCGTGTAGTTCTTATATTTATCCAGCTTATCGTCCTACAGGGATGTCCTACTAAGACTGTCATACCATAAAAACATTTATAACACAGCTCACATTCTAATATATCTGCATTCATAAATTTATTAATGTCATTTAGACTAAACGACGTCGACGCCATGTTTGTTATGTGCCTCTGCCGTCTAAACTACCTATCAAAAAAGAAGAGGTGGAAGAGAGCCAGAAGATCTTCCCTATGCAAAAAAACAGAAATGGACCTCTTCTGGCTCACTACGGAAGAACAAAAAAACACGCCCCAGTGTATTTATTGGGTTACTTCCCTTGATTTATCCTGTTTTAAGTTACTTTCCTTTTAATAATGAAAATTTTTAAAAGAATATAGATAAAATATAAATTGACCAAATAATCATAAAAGGATGGTAAATAAATGATTTTAAATGTCTTAGGACAAATAAAAAAATAATAATTTGAAAATTATTTGAGGATTCTATACTTCCTTTGAAGGCTTAAATTGAAATTTATATAAGAACTATGACCCTTGTTTTACAGTTAGAATGATTTTCTGAGTATGCAAACAAAAGCTATTTGCAGATAGTTAAACAAATGTTCTGGTTGCAATGATTGTTTTAAAGAATATTAAGTAAAAAATTTAAAGAACATACTGAAAAAAAAATAATGTTAGATTGAACATGTAGAATATAAAGATGGAGAAACTTTATAAGTACAAGGATACTATAAACATAATAAATTGGATGGAAAGTTGAAGAAAACACACTTTAAAAGACAATTTTTACAGCACACGGTTACATTTACGACAAAACTTATGTCGATTAAAAACCTCCTGATCTGAGTCCTAATCTCCTGACCAAAATTTCCCAATCTCCTGATCTGAGTTTCACAGTCCATCACATGTATGAATAGGTAAATTAAAAAATTATAAGTTCTTAGACCACTTTCATTCTGTGTCAGAAACCTATGCTGTGTCAAATATTTAATTACAATCCAAATTCAGTGCTGTATCAAGCTTGAATGTTGTGTCCATACTTGCCCCAACTGTTCAGGGTTTGACCTCTGCGGTCGTATCAAGCTGCGCCCCAGCGGAGCATTTTATTGTCAGATGTTCGGACTCCTTGGTTCTTTCCTACCAAACAGGGTACAATATTTTGCCCCATAACACCCATTTTTCTTTTCATATAAGACTTCAATATCTCAGTAAAGGTCATTTTCCAAAAGGAGTAGGTCCGGTAATTGCCGATTTTGGCCTCAAAATTCAGGTTCATCTGATGGAAGATTTTGGACACTTTTTAAACACTTAAGTGTCTACTTCAGTTGATTCAATTAGTTATTGTAATTAATTAGTAATTAATTTGTGAAAGATTTGAACTGATTTAGTCATTAAAGAGGCTCAAATTCAAGCTTAAATATGAAAAATCTATCAAATATGCCATAATATGTCACTTTTCAGATGGTTTTTGTCAAAAATGAAAGTGGCCACGTCCGTGTTCATTCTCAACTTTATATATGTTATGTATTATCATCAAATACAACTTACATTTAAGTATTAAGAATGAACACAAATGCAGCCACTTCCATTTCAGACGGAAACCGTCTAAAAATTAACCAAAATGCTAAAATTTTGAAGACGTCAGTAATTTAGCATGACTTAATGATGCTAGTACCCGATACATGTGCATTGTATTGTCAAAAACAGCACATATTTATGTAACAGAAGCATTCTTTTTTCCAATAAATAGCTAAAAAAAAATTTTTAACAATTTTGTAAAACTGCTATATTTTTGGGCCAAAAAGGGGTCTTACTGGGCCTACTCCTTTAAGCAGATTCTAGATTTCCTTTCTTTCGATTTGAGACCCAAATAATACCTATGCAAATATAAGTTAAAAGTCCAAGTCAGCCTTTTCCTGCCATTTAAAAAAAATTATATATCTCGAAAAGGAGCTCCATAACCTATCAATATTTTTAGCTAATTTTGTTCCTTAACTAATGCTCTTCTGACTTATAGTATCAATTTTAGATTCTAGATTTGTTTTTAATTTCACCTAAGTACATCCTTAAGTAAAGGACATTTTTGAATGGAATAAACTTGAGTTCATTACTGCTTTTGATTAAAATCAATTTTATATCTCAATCTTTAACTTTCAGCACATATTCTGTTTGATGATGCATTTGAATTTGATGATGATGAAGATAGAGTGCCCAACTCCTTTGTGAAGCTGTTTATGGAGGTGATGCAAGAAGCTGCAAAGTAAGTGCATAGTTTGACTTTAAAAAGAAAAAAAAAGGAATAAAATTTCAACCTTGATTGAGTTTAATTATATTACTATACAAAATAAGTACATGATGACTCCATAACATCCTTTTGTTTTTGAAGACATGCTTCATGTTCAAAACTTATTTAAGATCTTAAGGTGGCTCGGGAGTCTTCCTCCATTTTGGATTTTGAAATAGCAGATAATGTTGGTCTAGATCTTTGATGAAATGTGCAAATTTTGAGAGTAGTATGCAATTTATGTGTAAGACTTTTGATGTAAATATAGAAAATTGTGGGTTTTATCATAATTACGGCTGTAATTTCCAAAAAAAAACACCTTATTTGTGTTTGAATAATTTTTTATTCAACTTTGACAAATAAGGGGAGATAACTCAGATAAAGTAATTTTTATAATAGAAAGTGTTGTGAATTTACCTATTTTAATCTGTAGCAAGAAAACAAGTTCGGTGACCCCATTTTTTCTTTTTCTTATGTGAAAGCATGTTATAAGAGCTATCTTCCCACATTTTATCTTAAAATTCTATCATGTAGTTTTCTTTTTATCACACACAATTTGATTTTCCATGCATAATCTATACAAAATCTGACAATTTTGCACAACCTGTAGCGTGAAAAAAAGTCCAGTGACCCACACTTTTTATTATATTTTTGAAAAAAGCATTATAAAAACTTCATTATGACAAATTATTAAAAAATTCTATCAGTTTTAATTAAGACGCCCCAGCCGCCTTAAGTATCAATTTATCAAATTTTATAGTGCCATCCATCATAAGGAAATCAAACTGGCTACTCCTATGAAGATCCCATCCCCATATGGTGCACAGCTTGTTTTTGATCTTCCGGGGGAAAATATGATGTATGTCCATCTCAAAGACAAGAACAAAATACGACACAGGAAAAGGTGGTCACAGGTATGTAAGATATGGATATTAACACATTATATATATTTTTGGTAAATAGAATTAAGCAAACAAGACAAGTTTTCTGACTGATATTTTATCAAGTGTTTTTGCCATTTTGCAGCTTCCTGCATCACGTCCATAAACAGCTTCTCAAAGGAGTTACTCTTATCTTCATCATCATCCAAATACCCCTTTATTACTTTTTTTTCATATCTGCACTTTTTCTTAAGATTGCCTTATGCAAATTTTATGAAACTCATACACATTGCTAAAATCCAAAACTCACTAAGAGAGTTTGAATTTGGGCAGTGAATCGCTTACTGTTCTAGAGTTGTGCCCTTTATATTTTTGAACATTGCTAATTTTTGTCGAGCCTGCGACTTTTGTCGCAGAAAGCTCGACATAGGGATAGTGATCCGGCAGCGGCGGCGGCGTTAGCTAACTTCTTAAAAGCTTTATATTTTAGAGGGTGGAAGATCTGGATGCTTCATACTTTGTATATGGATGCCTCATGTTACGAAGTTTCCGTCAGTCACATGTCCAATGTCCTTGACCTCATCTTCATGGTTCAGTGACTACTTGAAAAAAAAGTTAAGATTTTTTGTAATGTAAAATTCTCTCTTATTATAAGTAATAGGATAACTATATTTGGTATGTGCGTACCTTGCAAGGTCCTCATGCCCGTCAGACAGTTTTCACTTGACCTCGACCTCATTTCATGGATCAGTGAACAAGGTTAAGTTTTCGTGGTCAAGTCCATATCTCAGATACTATAAGCAATAGGTCTAGTATATTCGGTGTATGGAAGGACTGTAAGGTGTACATGTCCAACTGGCAGGTGTCATCTGACCTTGACCTCATTTTCATGGTTCAGTGGTTATAGTTAAGTTTTTGTGTTTTGGTCTGTTTTTCTTATACTGTATGCAATAGGTCTACTATATTTGGTGTATGGAATGATTGTAAGGTGTACATGTCTAGCTGGCAGGTGTCATCTGACCTTGACCTCATTTTCATGGTTCAGTGGTTATAATTAAGTTTTTGTGTTTTGGTCTGTTTTTCTTATACTGTATGCAATAGGTCTACTATATTTGGTGTATGGAATGATTGTAAGGTGTACATGTCTAGCTGACAGGTGTCATCTGACCTTGACCTCATTTTCATGGTTCAGTGGTCAAAGTTAAGTTTTTGAGTTTTGGTCTTTTTTCCTAATACTGTATGCAATAGGTCTACTATATTTGGTGAATGGAATGATTGTAAGGTGTACATGTCTATCTGGCAGGTGTCATCTAACCTTGACCTCTTTTTCATGGTTCAGTGGTCAAAGTTAAGTTTTTGAGTTTTGGTCTTTTTTTCTAATACTATATGCAATAGTTCAACTCTATTTGGTGTATGGAAATATTTTATGATCTATATGTCAGTCACACAGGTTTTATTTGACCTTGACCTCATTTTCAAGGTTCATTGCTCAGTGTTAAGTTTTTGTGTTTTGGTCTGTGTTTCTTAAACTATAAGCAATAGGTCAACTATATTTGTTGTATGGAAGAATTGTTAGCTGTACATGCCTGCCTAGCATGGTTCATCTGACCTTGATCTCATTTTCATGGTTCATTGGTCAATATTTAGTTTACTTGGTTAATGTTAAGTTTATGTGACAGTTGTAATAAAGCTTTATATTTAGGACTATCAACATAATATCAATGATTAGTAAAGAAGGCGAGACATTTCAGTGTGTGCACTCTTGTTTTGTTTCTGCACTATTCTATCCAAATTGTATGAAACTCATACAAAATGCTAAGAACCAAAACTTGCAGACAGAGCAAATTTGGGCAGTGAATCGCTTACTGTTCTAGAGTTATGCCCCTTTATATTTTTGGACATTGCTAATTTTTTTGCTTCTGCACTATTCTATCCAAATTGTATGAAACTCATACAAAATGCTAAGAACCAAAACTTGCAGACAGAGCAAATTTGGGCAGTGAATCGCTTACTGTTCTAGAGTTATGCCCTTTATATTTTTGAACATTGCTAATTTTTTTGTTTCTGCACTATTCTATCCAAATTGTATGAAACTCATACAAAATGCTAAGAACCAAAACTTGCAGACAGAGCAAATTTGGGCAGTGAATCGCTTACTGTTCTAGAGTTATGCCCCTTTATATTTTTGAACATTGCTAATTTTTTTGTTTCTGCACTATTCTATCCAAATTGTATGAAACTCATACAAAATGCTAAGAACCAAAACTTGCAGACAGAGCAAATTTGGGCAGTGAGTCACTTACCGTTCCAGAGTTATGTTCCTTTATAACTTTTATAACTTTTTTTGTTTCTACACTCTAATTTAAGTTTGCCTCATGCATATTTGTATGCCCCACCTAGGGCATTATGTTTTTCAGTATATGCATCCGTTTGTCCATTGGTCTGTCCGTCTGTCCCGCTTCAGGTTAAAGTTTTTGGTCAAGGTAGTTTTTGATGAAGTTGAAGTCCAATCAACTTGAAACTTAGTAAATAAACAATAGAACTCTGTTAAAACTAACAGTGACATCAAATGATCTCTAAAAGTATTTTCACGTATTATTAGCAAGCTTGAGATGGGGCATTCATATTTTTTATGCCCCTGCCGTAGTGGAGGGGGCATTAAGTTTTACCCTTGTCCGTCTGTACATCCCTACGTACGTCTGTCCCTCCGTATGTACGTTCCAAAATTGGTTTCCGTTCTCTAACTTAGTTTGCCTCAACCAAATGTTATGAAACTTATCCACAATTTTATTACCACAAAACACAGATCAAGTTTGAATTTTGGTGGCATCACTTTTACCGTTCTAGAGTTATGCCCCTTTACAAATGTTTATTACCACAAAACACAGATCAAGTTTGAATTTGGGTGGGGTCACTTTTACCGTTCTAGAGTTATGCCCCTTTACAAATGTTTATTACCACAAAACACAGCTCAAGTTTGAATTTGGGTGGCGTCACTTTTACCGTTCTAGAGTTATGCCCCTTTACAAATGGAAAAAAAAATGCTGAATTTTTCGTTTCCGTTCTCTTACTTAAGTTTGCATCCACCAAATGTTAAGAATGTTTATTACCACAAAACTCAGATCAAGGTCGAATTTGGGTGGCGTCACTTTTACCGTTCTAAAGTTATGTCCCTTTACAAATGAAAAAATTGCTGAAATATTAGTTTTGGTTCTCTAACTTTAGTTTGCCTCAACCAAATGTTATGAAACTTATGCACAATGCTAATTACCACAATACACAGATCAAATTTGAATTTTGTTGGCGTCACTTCTACTGTTCTAGAGTTTTGCCCCTTTACAAATCTCAATATTGATGAAATATTTTTTCTGTTCTCTAACTTTAGTTTGCCTCAACCATATGTTATGAAACTTATGCACAATGCTAATTACCACAAAACACAGAAAAAGATTGAATTTTGGTGGTGTCACTTCTACTGTTCTAGAGTTATGCCCTATAAAAATGGGAAAATTGCTGAATTTTTCGTTTCTGTTCTCTAATTTAAGTTTATGCCAATTAAATGTTATGAAACTTATAAACAATGCTTATTACCTCAAAACTCAGATCAAGTTCAAATTTGGGTAGTGTCACTTTTACAGTTCTTGAGTTATGGCCCTTTATAACGTTATATGCAAGGGGTGGCATCATCTGTGTCCCATGGACACATTCCCCATTTATTTCTGTATGTTTTTTACATTTTGATAGAACATTATCCAGAAACTACTTTTGTAGTCTATGTAAACACTGTGTCAATTTCAATACGATATGTTCATGCGTGATACACATGAATGAAAACGATAGGTCCATAGCAGGGCTTCCAAAACGGTCGTATTTTCCAGACTTGTCAGGTAAATTATATAAATGACTTGTTGTGCCCATGCTGAAATGGACATTTAAACATAGTTCAGGAAAAAAAATTGAAGTTTATGCGATCTTTTTGACCTGACCTTTTGCCTTAAACAGCCACACATTTCTGGTCATATAAGTGACATGATGGATAATAACTATCAAAACAAACCCTACTTTAATACCCTCTCATTACAATCAAGGTTAATTAGTTCTTCGACAGCTGAAATTTACCTGATCAGTTGACAGGTAAACTATTTTGTACTGGACATTGATCTGTCTGTTGAAAGTTATTTTCTTAAATTTCAGCGGTTTGAATCTAATTGATTTAGTCAACAAGATTTAGATTATCAGAAAACGTAAATAAATATGATTTGATGAAAATTTGAAAAGGTAGTAATAAAGGTTTTAAGTGAAAAATCGTCAGAACCACGTTGTTTGAACTAGTACACTTGTGGGCATGTGCGCAGTTAGAGTTTAAATTATGCATCTGAATTTTCAAAAATGCTAAAAATATCATTGAAACCTTTATCTTACACTCATTTCGAGTATTTTCCTGGAGAAATAAAGTGGAAAGAGTTACTTAAACTCAATTGTGCTTTGTAAACATACACAGATTTTACGTATCCGTCTCTGCTCCGTGTTTTACCATTGTCAAGTCAACATCCGGTATTAGGAAAATGTACTTTTGAAAAACGAAAGTGAAGTTATTGACAGCGTAATTTTGCACAAATAAAGAGTCTAAGGCAGATATTAGTACGCTGGTGTTGCACACTTCAAATGGTACACTGTCAATTTAACAGTTAATGCCATAACATCAAATTTATATAAAAAATCAAGTTAAATATTGTTTTTGTGTCAATCATAATTTATATAATGCCCAACTGATTACTACGGTTGCCTTTTATTACTAAGTCTTAAGGGATTAAATTCGAGATAAGACAAAAAATATGTCCGGCTGGATAAAATATTTTTTGGAAGCCCTAGTGAAATTGAATGATAACTAATGTTTTATTTGAGAATCATAAGGTTTAACACATTTTCTCTAGATGTTATTAAAAAAAAAAAGAGGTTATTGATGTGTAAAATGAGCTGCTGACACCAACATTTGATATTATTGTTGGCAAACTTGACACAAAAATATGTTTCTTCAATTACAAAGCCATATCATGTCCAACTCAACTTTTATTTTCTGAGTAAGAAGATTTATGGATTCACCATGGATCAGTGGTCAGTTGCTGTGTAGAACATTTAACATTTTAACATGCACAACAGATACATGGTTTTAATTGGTCTGTAGATAGCTTATATTTACTGTCCACCAAAGTTTATTATTAGTCTATAGAATGATTTCTGCAATGCATAATTAGTCAATAACTTTGACAAATTAGCCAGAAATTCTCAACTTATTACCGTTATTTGAAATAATATCAAAGATAGGAAATATAGTTTGCTGTTATTGTAGGTGATCTATATGTACTATTTGCTGGGATATCATATTATTGTAGGTGATGTATATGTACTATTTGCTGGGATATCGTATTATTGTAGGTGATGTATATGTACTATTTACTGGGATATAGTATTATTGTAGGTGATGTATATGTACTATTTACTGGGATATCGTATTATTGTAGGTGATGTATATGTACTATTTGCTGGGATATCGTATTATTGTAGGTGATGTATATGTACTATTTGCTGGGATATCGTATTATTGTAGGTGATGTATATGTACTATTTGCTGGGATATCGTATTATTGTAGGTGATGTATATGTACTATTTGCTGGGATGTCTTTTTATTGTAGGTGATGTATATGTACTATTTGCTGGGATGTCGTATTATTGTAGGTGATGTATAGTAGGTGATGTATATGTACTATTTACTGGGATATAGTATTATTGTAGGTGATGTATATGTACTATTTGCTTGGATATCGTATTATTGTAGGTGATGTATATGTACTATTTGCTGGGATATCGTATTATTGTAGGTGATGTATATGTACTATTTACTGGGATATAGTATTATTGTAGGTGATGTATATGTACTATTTGCTGGGATGTCGTATTATTGTAGGTGATGTATATGTACTATTTGCTGGGATATCGTATTATTGTAGGTGATGTATATGTACTATTTGCTGGGATATAGTATTATTGTAGGTGATGTATATGTACTATTTGCTGGGATATCGTACTATTAAAGATAAGAAATAAAGTTTCCTGTAATTGTAGGTGATGTATATGTACTATTTGCTGGGATATCGTATTATTAAAGAGTGTCAAGAGAGGGTACTTGGTGCCTTAGCAGATGATAAAATCAGTGAATTAGCCACATGGGATTACGATAATGCCCCTGGCAGAGTTGGCAAGAGTCAGATCTTCAATATATTAGATGATGAAGTGTTGTATAGGGTAAGGATCCAAATGTCTAAACTATTAATAAACCCATGTTTAAAATGACTGAAAGACTTGATAAATATTGTTTAATCAAGTTCTTCATATGAATAGAAATATAACACTTAGAAGCCTATGTTCTTAAATAATTGTAATGAAATATTTCAGGAAATCATGAAATGGAATATTGAGGTTCTGAAAATATTTTTGGAGGTCCTTAAAGAAACCTCAAAGAAAGTTGGGGGGGGTGTTATATAGTGAAGTGATGCACATGTCTGTTGTCTGTCTGTTTCGTCCTTAAGTCAATCTGTCACAACTTTGGTTTCTAGATGATAATCATAGTATCACTTGATGACCAAATCTTTTGAAATTTTTGAAACAATGTAATGAACCATGAAATACAGGTCAAGTTTTATTTTGATGGTTTTTACATTTACCCTCAAGAGTTATGTCCCGTAGTTAGAAAGTGGGTTCTCTTCTGTTTCCCAGTGATAATGATAATAACCGCTTGACCAAATCTTTGAAACTTACCATAAAATAAAGTTAACATTCGATTTTGATGATTTTGACATTTAATGTTCTAGAGTTATGCCCATTATTTACAAAAGTTGGGTTTTCTGTTTTGTTAACTGATGATAATGAAAAACTACTGGACCAATTCTTTTGAAACTGGAACACAATGTCATTGACCATACAAAACAGGTCAAGTTTAATTTTGGTGGTTTTGACATATACATTTGAAGACTTATGCCCTTAGATACCTAAAATTTCTATGCTTTGGTTTGTGGATAATATTTAAAGCACCACTTGACCAAATCTTTTAAAAAATACAGAACACGGTTGATGTTGATGGTTATGACATTAATTTTTTAAGTTATTTCTGTTTGTTATCTTAAAACTGTGATTTTTTTACTATTGGCAAAATCTTTTTTAGATTTCAACACAATGTTATGAAACATAAAATACAGGTCTCATTCAATTTGGATTTTGGTTTTGGAATTTACTAGTTAAAGAGTTTTTTCTGCAAGTGGGGGTATCTGTGATCTCTAGATCACCTCAATACTAGTTATATATGGTTATCCTGAAATTTAATTATGGAGGTCTGGAAATATTTGAGAAATTCCATAATTATATATGGATATCCTGAAATTGAATTATGGAGCTCCTTAAATTTAATAACTTTGATCCATATCATTATGATTGTCAAGTCAATCAAAATCAGCTTTTATATATTGGGTTCTATAGAGAAGTACAAGTTAAAGAATTGCTAAACTATTTGAATTTTAACATTAGCAGAACGTGACTTGTTGAAAATTCATTTTTATTTGGTGCTGATTGATCAATATAGTTGTATGGAATTTAGTTTAATATTAGGACTAATGTGATACATATGTACTCAGTAGTTATCAGTGGCGGATCCAGAACTTTTCATAAGGGGGGGCCCGCTGACTGACCTAAGGGGGGGCCCGCTCCAGTCATGCTTTAGTGATTCCCTATATAACCAACCAAATTTTTCCCACAATAGGGGGGGCCCTGCCCCTCAGGGCCCCCCCCTGGATCCGCCTATGGTTATTTTATATAGCATGTGATACAGGTTTTACTGTGTGTCATCAGTTTTATTCTGTCAAATTGCTACTTCTAGATTAAAAAACCTGGTATATATGTAACACTCAGAAACGTGTCCATCCCCCCAAACGTGTCCATATGACGTCGCTGAATTAAAAACATGTCTAGTTGCAAAAGGATGCCGAAACGTGTCATTTTTATGAGCGCTCAATTTTGTCCATATTTTCAAATGCCCATTCAATTATTTTAATTTTTGACCATCAAGTAACTATTACATGTCCACCGATATTAAAATTTATTATTAAATTTTGGTTATTGTTCTTCTTTTGACGTATATTCCTTTTAATTTACTCATTCATCTATTGTCCCACCTCCAAGCGTGAAAGGAGAATAGAAACATGGTTTATTAGGTCTTCTTCCAACCGACAGTTAAATCCTTGCCAAAGTTGGGCGTCTGTTTGGCTGGGTTGGAAGTAAAAGTACGCAGCCATATCCAAAACCTTGTGTAGGAAGAGATAGATCTACCTAATGTATTTATTGTTAATATGTTGTCGTCCTGAATATGAATTAAATATTTGTAACTGGACTTTAAGCAATCAACAGTAAAGAGTTGATTTATATGTTGCAAATCAAACTTGCAATTATTCTAATTTGAATATAAACAACTGGCGTTGAACAAACTAAATCTAACAAATTTAGGATTTTCTTCTTTAAACTCTGTTCCTTTTTAAATTTCCATTAATTATGCCGAAATACTTCATTCAGCATTTATGTCTTTTAAATACGGCTTTAATCTTTTTATAGGATCTAATCGAAACCCAACATATTTTCGTGTCCCTGAGAATTGAATTGCCGTAGAAATTATTGGCATCACTGAGGACATAATAGCGCTAAAAGTTCTGAGATGTTCAGGGGTCTTACAGAAGACACGTTTTGGCGAATAACAATTATTGGACACGTTTGGGGATGTGAAATTGGAAAGGTATGGGTGAAATAGACACGTTTGGGGGAATCGGACATGTTTGGGGGGATGGACATGTTTGTGAGTGTTACATAAAAATAGATATATAGTGAAAACAAATTGGTGCATGAAAGTTTGTGTAAGAAATATGAACCTTCCTTTCAGGCAGAGAATACCTTTATCCTTGCCTTAGATGGAGATGTTGATTTTACACCTAAAGCTGTCAGACTACTGGTGGATAGAATGCAAAAAAATGAAGAGTTAGGTGCTGCATGTGGACGTATTCATCCAATAGGCAAAGGTAACTTGTCATTAATTGCTTGATTTTGTGTGGTTACTGCAGGTATCAACATTTCCACCTATCTGATAGCTCCAAATTATCTGCAAAGGTCTGCAGTGTTCTCCCCAGAAATTTTGGATAGCATCACATTTGGCGTAAAAAAATAAACTGTATTTTTTTCAATGTCATTTGATGCGTCGCGGCGATGCTCTATTTCCTTTATGTTATATATGTTTATATTGTTCAATTCATAACTGAGAATACAATTAAACTTTAACCATGATAACAGTTGTTTCAGTTTATGCTTTCTATATTCATTTATACCGGTAGTTACAGAATTATTTTTTTCCTCTTGGGCCAAATAGAAATATATGTGTGGTTCCAGTTACCCTACCTACTCAACTAAATGAATGAATGAATGGTTTATTATAGTACAACCTGTATATATACAAAACTAGATATCAAGCAAAAAAAAAAGAACTGGTTTTTATATAAAAAGGGAAGAGAAAGTATCATATAGCAATGAAATTTCAATTAAAATTTTTTTTCCTTTATCATGTCTATGAAATTCATTGTTTCATGGTACTCAATGAATTAGTCCCAGTTATTTCTTTATATCAAAATGATATATATTTTTAACAAAGTTAAGCTACTTTAGTCAGTATATTCAAATGATGTATTTTCAAAAAGAATACATTTAGCAAAGATACCTAATAAATAGTCTGTTAATGCATGTGGAATGCGTAGTTTTCTCTTTTGTGATCATTTTTTTCTGTCTACTGTGCCATTTGTGCATAGTTATTATTGTAAAAATGCGGAATTTTGTCATATCTGGTACGGTTCCAATCCGTAGTTCACACAAATATTCCAATGGCGGCGGAAGAAAAATTTACGAAAAAATAAACAATGTTTGACAAGAGATTGGGAATGAATATGACGCTTTTAATGCATTAAACGGATGAAATATTAACTAAAGCCAATAATGACCTCTTTCTAAAGAAGTATCAAACTTATTTAACTCAAAATCAAAATGTTTAATATACGCTCTCGATTAACTAGTTGTACCGGAAATGAAAGAAAGTAATTTTTTAAAAGTTGTAAAAATATACGAAATCGTTTGTATCTTTGAATTTGGATTATGCAAACGTAGATTTTGAATTGTTTTTCAATTTTCTGATTACATTTTCTCCATGTCGAAATTTGCGATTGGACCATGTGGTATTAGTCATGTCACAAGTGTCAGCTTGGGGTATTCGTATCCATTCAGTTATCACCCAAAGGGCAATTAACACCTATTTAATCACTTTAAATTGCCTCTATTGTCGGACTTGAAGGGATTACAATTAAAGGTGATATAATTTTTATGATCACAAGCGGTAATTAGATGGAAGTTCAAAATTTAGAACATGGTTTTGCGATATAGAGACAAGAAAAAGAGCATCCTCAAAATAATTATAGCATCGCGGAAATTATTATAGCATTACGGGAAAAAATGTAGCGTCTCGGTGCCGCAACGCTAAAACGGCCTGGGGAGAACACTGGGTCTGTAAAGGAGTAGGTTCGATAAGGCCCTAAAATGGCCCCTGTTTCTAACTAAAATATCAAATTAGGATTTATTGATCAAAATTACAATGAATCATAGCTAAAACAATGATTTGATTGGAAATATGACTATTTGTTGAAAATTTATGCATTAGCGTTCTTTTCACAACATCAAAAATAGCAAACGTATTGATCTTCCATGAAAATTTAATAAAAACAGGCAATTTTCCATTGTTTTTTTGCACTGGAAAAAAACAGAGGGCATGCGTCTACAAAGAAGATCTTTTAACATAATATTTGTTATAACAATTTACATATCTGACTTGAATATTTAATATGTCAAAGCCTCTGCTCTATGTTTCCTCTGCCTTAATTTGTTTGAAATCCAGATGATTTTGTCAAGTTTCACCCAAAACTCTACTCATGGCCTATTTGGGTTGTAAATTTTAATGCATTATAAGAAAAGCTGTGCAAAAATAGTTCTATTACACTTTCCTACATGTCTTTTTATCAACTAGAAACATTTTTATCTTGAAACAATGGACTTAATGTTCGGGGCAAAAGATGACCCTTACCAAACTTACTCCTTTAAGTGACATAGATAGTCTGCTGGACTTCTTACATAAGTCTTGGATGGAAAGCATATAACTGAAAAAGAATCAACAATTACATCATATAGCAGGGCTCACACTATTTCAGAATCATAGGGAGAAGTGACTTCTCTTTTTGAAACTAATAGGGAGAAGTGGTGAGATGTGATAGAGAAGTGCTCGTTCGCTCGCTCACAGCGCCATAGTGTTTTTTGATTTTTACTATAATAAAAAGGGCTATATGTATCCTATTTATCTATTTTTTATATTGTTTAATTTATACCTGAGTATACAATTAAAGTAACAGTTGTTTCAGTTTATCATTTCTAGTTGCACAATTATATCTATATAGGTCCTCTTGTCAGAAACTATCAACTAAATATCTAGTACTAAAAAGGATTTTTTTTTATATCAAAATGGAAAAGAAAGTAAAATATATCAATTAAAATTCAATTAAAAAACTATTCTGTTTATCATGTTTATGAAATTCATTGTTTCTCATTAAAAGATACATTAATTTAACAAAGTTAAGCAACTTTAATCAATGAAATCAGGGACCAGAGATGTGACTCATTTCACAAAAAAACACTTGTTAATCATGACCAATTCAGTATAACTTACGATCATTTATTGTCATAAAAGTTTTTTGTGAAAAGAGCCCTGCTTGTTATTTTAGCAAAACCTGATGCCAAATGTTTTAAATATCAATGCAATCAGTGAATTACTACATAAACACCCATACAAGTAAATATGAATATGGCAACTGATACAAGGTAATAGCGACATGCCATTGAAAGTCTGTAGTTTGAATCCTTATGAAAATATGTGGGTAAGAGTTTGGCAGATCTGCATTAGTTTTTATGCCCCAACCGCGGTAGAGGGGGCATTAAGTATTACCCTTGTCTGTTCTCTAACTTTAGTTTGAATCAACCAAATGTTATGAAACTTATACACAATGCTTATTAGGGCCCCGCCGAATGGCGGACACCCTATAGTGATCAGTCTGTCCGTCCGTCCGTCCGTCTGTCTGTCAGTCTGTCCGTCCGTCCGGACGCCCGTAACAAATTGTGTCCGCTTTATATCTAGAGAACCGTTATGATTTCAAAGTTTATACTTGACATGTATCTTAACCAACACCAGAGGGTGTGTCATAATGTATGTACAACTTCCTAGGTTAAAGGTCAAGGTCAAAAACTTTGGTTTTAGTTGATAACCCCATGTCCTATGGTAAAGATCGTGTCCGCTCTATATCTTGAGAACCGTTATGATTTCAAAGTTTATACTTGACATGTATATAAACCAACACCAGAGGGTGTGTCATAATGTATGTACAACTTCCTAGGTGAAAGGTCAAGGTCAAAAACTTTGGTTTTAGTTGACAACCCCATGTCCTATGGTAAAGATTGTGTCTGCTCTATATCTTGAGAACCGTTATAATTTCAAAGTTTATACTTGACATGTATATAAACCAACACCAGAGGGTGTGTCATAATTTATGTACAACTTTCTAGGTCAAAGGTCAAGGTCATAAACTTTGGTTTCAGTTAACAACCCTATGTCCAATGATAAAGATACAAATTTTTTACCACATATTATTCACAGCGGGGCCCACAGAGATGGCTCCAATCTCAATGATATCTAGTTATCACAAAACACAGATCAAGTTCGAATTTGGGTGGCGTCACTTTTACTATTCTAGAGTTATGCCCCTTTATAAATGGAAAAAATCCCCTGAATTTTTCGTTTCCATTCTATAACTAGTTTGCCTAAACCAAATGTTATGAAACTTATACACAATGCTTATTACTATAAAACACAGATCAAGTTCAAATTTGGGTGGCGTCATTTTTACAGTTCTCTAGTTATGTCCCTTTATAACATTATATGCAAGCAGGGGCATCATCTGTGTCCCATGGACACATTCTCCATTGAATAAATTTTTTTTTCAGGCCCCATGGTATGGTACCAAAAATTTGAGTATGCTGTTGCTCATTGGTTACAGAAATCAACAGAGCATGTCCTAGGCTGTGTGCTGTGTAGTCCTGGGTGCTTTAGTTTGTTTCGAGGTTCTGCTCTGATGGATGATAATATCATGAGAAAGTATACCATTAAACCAACAGAGGCATCACATCATCTCATGTACGATCAAGGTATGGAACTTCATATCTGTTAAAACACACCTCTGCCTAGATGACCTTTTCACAATTTATTAAGTAACCAATGCAACCACCAAATATATCATTTCTAACTTAGTGTCCCATCAAAGTTGTAAATATAGCAAGTTCTTATAACATCTAAAATATGTATCTTTAAAAAAAATGATATTTAACCTCAACTCACAGAAGGGTATACGTAGTAAGTATTTTCAATGCATATTACTCAGCTTCTGTTTAAAGTAACTAATTGATATTTGACCTTGAGTTGTACCATGTGAGCAATTTTTAGATTTTCTGGTAAGTCACTTCTTGATTGACGATACTTTGAATTTTTTTTATGCCCATTGAGCATGGAATTTTTCATCAATGTCTTTAAATATGAGTGGGGTGTACTTTGCATGTAATCTTACTATAAATCATTTTGCAACATGCAGATAAGTGTATAAAGTTATATCTTATTTAGAATATCTTGCAATGTACAGATAAGTATCTAAGTTATATCTTATTTTGAATCAATTTTGTAATAGATCAACCTATTCAATTTCTTAATATGTAACCTGTTAGGATCCCTATGAAAACTTACATTTTTTATGGTTTTAATTTAGGTGAAGACAGGTGGCTTTGTACTTTACTTTTACAACAGGGATACAGAGTAGATTATGCTGCTGCTTCAGATGCCTACACCTATGCTCCAGAAGGATTTGGTGAATTCTTTAACCAACGTAGACGCTGGATGCCTTCAACCATTGCTAATATTATGGACTTACTGGCTGATGCAAGTAATACAGTTTCTATAAATAACAACATCAGCTGGCTATACATGTTTTATCAAGGTTAGTATATTAAAGTTTGGTATTAAAAATATCAGTTTGTTTTATTTGATATACCAAGGTCAGAAGGTCAAACTATGGAAATAGAAATATCAGCTGAGGTTGACCTGTTGTTGGTTAAATCCTGGTCCTTTGGTTTTTGTCTTGCCTGCGACAAAAGTCGCAGTACGACGAAAGTTGCAGTATGCGAGACATAAGTATTACTATCCAGCAGCTGCGTAAACTATTTGTATAAAGCTTTATAATTCAGAAGGTAGAAGACATGTATGTTTCATACATTGTATGCAGATACCTTATGTTACAAATTTTCTGTCTGTCATATGTCCATTGTCCATGACCTCATTTTCATGGTTCAGCGACGGCTTGAAAAAAAAATTGTTGTTTTTTTGTCATGTGAATTTCTCACTTATTATGAGTAATAGGATAACTATATTTGATATATGGGTTCCTTGCAATGTCTACATGTCCATCAGACAGGGTTCACCTGACTTCGACCTCATTTCATGGATAGTGATCATGGTTAAAGTTAGGTGATTGGGTCCGTTTCTCAAATACTATAAGCAGTAAGTCACTATATGTGGTGTATGGAATGATTGTAAGGGGTACATGTCAGTCTGACCTTGACCTCATTTTCATGGTTCATTGGTCAATGTTAATTTTTTGTGTTTTGGTCTGTTTTTCAAGTACTATAAGCAATAGGTCAACTATGTTTGGTGTATGGAATGATTGTAAGGTGTACATGTCTGTCTGACAGATATCATGTGAACTTAACCTCATTTTCATGGTTCATTGGTCAATGTTAAGTTTTTGTGTTTTGGTCTGTTTTTCAAGTACTAATAGCAATAGGTCAACTATATTTGGTGTATGGGATGATTGTAATGTGTACATGTCTGTCTGGTAGATATCATTTGACCTTGACCTCATTTTCATGGTTCATTGGTCAATGTTAAGTTTTTGTGTTGTGGTCTGTTTTTCAAATATTAATAGCAATAGGTCAGCTATATTTGGTGTATGGAATAATTGTAAGGTGTACATGTCTGTCTGACAGGTTTTATCTGACCTTGACCTCATTGTCATAGATCTTTGAAAATCTTAAGTTTATGAGATAGTTTAAGTAAAACCTCTTTCTTTAAAACTTTCAACATAAATCAATGGTCATTAAAGCAGGCGAGACATTTCAGCATGTGCACTCTTGTTGTTTGATCCTGCAGCTCTTTCTTTTAGCTAGACAAGAAGTTTATAAATAGCAAAATAGAGAGAAAAACTGTAAAGAGCAAAATTTATCAACAAGAAAAGATCTACAAATAGTTGAACACAACGAAGAGTCACTTCCCCTAAATGATGAACTTTGGGCAATTTAATCATTTTTTGGAAAGTTTGCTATAGCTTGCTATAGCAAAAACTTTCCTAAGGCATCGGCCTCAAACCAGAAGTGACAGACTATCTTACTTTAGGATGTGTGTTCTACTCCTAGATAATGTAGTACTGGTGTTTGACAACTAATTCTAGGAAGATGCTTTTGAAATTTGAGTCACTTCTATTTTGATTTATAGCTTACAGTTTGAATTAAAATATACTGAATGTTCATTGATAATTCAAATAATTCAACTTCATTTTGGTGAAAAAGGTCACAAACACTACTTCGCGGATCTGCGCTGAGCGGAAAGTAAAATCAATACACATCTACACGAGACAGCAGCTTCTACGTTATGCTTTTATCAGTATTCCCCAGACATGCGTGAGATCCATATCAACGGGAGTACTATAATCCCGGTTTCAGGGGTTTCATCCCGTCCTCCGGTTGAAGAGAAAATAAATACCGTGTTTAAAATATTTCATGAATGAACATTTTTGAGGCATACTACGTAAAAGCCTGAGTGTATCGAAAGTATCCCAGTATCTCATCTCCGCCCACAACAAACTCAGACTATAATGAACTCGGCCCATTACATAATCAGCATCAGAAAATCAGAATATAACAAAATTTGTAATTATACTACTTGCTATTAAGTCTCCCAAACAAAGTTTGGAGACTTATTGTTTTGCTCAGTTCTTATTATTTTTCTTCTTGAGGTCTATTTAGGGGTATTTTGAGGGGCCAACAGAAGGGAGGAATTTACAAAGAACCCTATGGGATTTATTTTTTTTCAATTTTCAAATGACTATAACTTGAAAACAGTAGGTAATAGACACACACGGTTTTTTAAAGGCAGTGCTTTAATGCCTTTCTAGTTGCCGTGTTAATCTTTCTTTCCGCGATATCCAACTTATCTACGTGGGGGGTCATTAGGGGACAACCATTTGATATTCTGGGGGGGGGCCAGGAGGATTTGTTTTGGATCGGTTATTTATTTTTGTAAACTAAGAGGACAGATTATCTATTTTCTGCACTATTGAAGCAAGATTTTTCATTTTCATTAAAGCAAGGGACTGATTATTTATTTTCACAACTATATTTATAATATTCGAAAAACATACAATTTTTAAATTATTTGTTTATCATAAATAATTCATGTATAGTCAAGTCATTATGTACCATTTAATCAGAATTAATTATTATCCTCTGCAGAAATGAATCTTCTATATCCCCCAATGCATATACATGTACTGCATACATACACAGTATTAAAGTTTGGTTGTAACTAAGGCTCTTTTAAGAGTATTGGTAAACATGTTTCGCCGAGCAGAGCGAGGCAAAATTTTTTTTGAAGGATTTTTGAACCACTGAAGGCCCAAAAAGCTATAGAACAAATGATGCAAAATCATGCCTTCTGGTGTTCCCCAGACCCTTTCTTAAACTGAAAATGCAAGTTCTGTTTTAATAATTTTATGACAATATTTTGGTCTCAAAGCAAAATCACGTTATAGATTCAGTGTAAGACTTAAGTTTCTAGGAACAACATCAAAAGACAAATATGCATGATATTAAAAGCAAAAATGTAATTCACATAATTAAGTCTGTGGCTGCTGTGTTTTTTTAAACTCATGATCAAGTTAATAATAAAATTACTAAATTACAAAATGAATGCGACACTAATAGAATACAGAAGGGCAATCAATGAACAAAAGACAAATAAATAAGAAACATTGATCCCGAAAAATTAGGGGCTACGTCTGAGGGAGAACAGAACTTGCTTCTTGCAAGGCACTCACGGTGAACACAATTTGATATGGAGACAAGCGTTTGGTTTTGAAATTTCCTACATGAGGCATTTGTCTCAATGTAGTTACGGCCCTGGTTTAATAAAAGTGAGGTAAGTGTTCCTGAGACAATTAACCTCAAGTTAAATGAAACCAATTTTCTGACATTTCAAGTATATTTAAATAATATTTATACTTTTATTATTAAAAGATATGGGAAGTGTTTCCCGATTTTTTTTTTGGAAAAAAGATGAATTTATGAAGAATCTAGTGCCATCTCATACTTTCGATTAGACCTGCTGAGTTATTTATTTTCAATACATTGCAAGTCAGGTAATTTATTTTCAAACTACCACAGAACAAACCATTTATTTTTGTGATTATCAAGGCTGAGTTATTTATTTTCAAAATCCTCCTGGGCCCCCCCCCCCCCCCCCCCCCCCCCCCCCCCCCCCCCCCCCCAGAATATCAAATGGTCGTCCCCTTAGTCTCCAAGTAGATCCGGAAAATGTTGATTCTCTCCTCTTCTTATTGTGATATAAAATGTTTTTTGTTTCATTTCATTTACATTGGGAAATAGAGAAACGATCATTGTGTTTTGTTAGTTTTAAAAACTTTTGATATATTTGTATTTTACATTATAAGCAGTCAACCGATTAACAAACTAGAATTATTTGAATTCCGTGTGGAAAGAGGTCGGGTTAATTTCGAGTGTTATCTGCAATCTAGATGTTTATAAATCATTTCAGTCGTTGGTATAATAATTAAAGGTCGACTGAACATGAATTATATTATACAATTTAAAGCGCATTTCTGTTTATGCACGCGAACCCGTCTAACGTAATTGTTATTTCGCGGTTATATAAAGTAGCAAATTATCGTTCCTGAATAGGTGGCGCCGTGGTAGCCGATCCTGTTCTTCAACTTCCGGTTTCTGCACTGTGCAACTATTACAGTTGCATTTTTAATTAACGATGCCAAGTACATGTTGTTGTGTACCTGGATGTCATTTAAGAGGAGGATATGCATTTCCAAATGACTTAAAAAGAAGGAAAAGTTGGATCAACGCCATGGCCCATACGCAGATTGGACGAGAACACGATTAGTCCATCTCAATCAGCTGTTGTTTGCAAGGCACATTTTACTGAAAAAGACTACGTGCAGGAAACTTTTCATGGTAAAACTCTATTTTCTTTTTAAAATATATAGTTATATATGTAATCGCCATGCGAATAAACCAAAGTTTTTTTTACAACCGCAATTATCGTTTTAGAATAAAAGGGGGTGGTTAATTCAAGACGTCATAATTTTTTGGATTACGATTCAATGTGATCTGTTTGAGATTTTTTGGTGCTTGCTACAATTATAATGATTTCTTACAAGAGATATATCATACTGAGAATTATTTTAGCAGTAATTATGCTAATGTAGTAATGACAGGAATGCATAAGCTATGCCTCATAGACTTTCTTGAAAAATATCAATGACAATGTTAACAGGAACAAAACAATGAATCCGGGTCCGTTCGCGCCCAATCACGTTCACCCCCATGCACGTTCGCCCCCTTTCACTTTCGCACCCTACACGTTCGCACCCAAAGTCCGTTCGCACCCTACACATTCGCGCCCAATTTTTATTGGTTTTGTTTAATAATTTGTAAACGAGTTTTGGTAAGTGTATTGCTATAAATATATATTTTTTCATTGTTTCTAAATAAAGTGAGATTCTGACAAGGTTTTTTTTGTGTAAATGGTAAATGTATTGCTATTAAATAACATTTTTTTTTCATTGTTTTTAAATTAAGTGAGATTCTGACGACCAGTATTTTAGTTTTGTGTTGAATAATTTTTAATCATGTTTAG